AGAATTACAATGGCTGCACCTGGAATGAGTGAGTTTCATTTGTGTTATTTACAGTCAATGTGACAAACATTGATTTATGATTTTATTCAGGAGAATCTCTATGTCAGTTAAAGGGTAAGCCCATATATACCCTTCAACCTTGAGCTTGTAAGTTTTCTCAGAGTCTCATATATGCTGGAATGAAATGATGAGAAATTTCTCATTGAGCCTAATTTCCTCAAAAAAGCCCTATAGAGCCTGGAAATTTGTTGAAAGTTTCTGGATAAATAGAACAATACTGTATACCTTTGTTCTTGATGTGTGGCATAAATTTCTGCACAGAAAATATTTTTTGAGATATTCTGCCACATGTGATCAATGTAATGCTCAACAAGCTATTACAGATAAACGCACTTCTGAACCATCTTAACCAGAAACTAATTTTAAATATCAAGTAATATTACTCACCACTTGTTTTTTCTGTTTCTTTTTTTACATGTATATTTTAATTATTAAGTTATTATACCAGTGCTGATGGAAAAAATTGAAAAATACCACTTTATGCAGGTTTGTGAATTAATTTTTTAACTCCATTGAAGTTATCAATGTCTCCAATGATTATAAGATTGCTATTTAATACCTGGTTGCTAAGGAACCTTGACTTAATCTGGTGCTGAATAAACTCTGACAATTCATCAAGGATACAATTTGAGGGCAGGAGATTGATAATTTACAAAGGCTCCTCATAATTCAAAAACGTTGTGCCAGAGTAATTTTAAATGCAGGCACTGAAAGATCAGTCGGCCTTTTTAAGAGATTAGGTTGGATTCCCATTTAATTTAGTGACATAATAGAGCAAAGGAAATTGTGTATTATGCATAACATTATCCATGAGAAATGTCCTGATTACTTTAATCATTATATTCGTTATGTTAAAAAGAGACATCGTTACACAACTCAGGTGTTAACTAATATGGACTTATCCACACCTTTCTTTAGCACTATGACCGGCAAATGTTCATTCCTTGCAAGTGGCACTAGATTATGGAACAACCTAGACAGTGCCACTAGGGGTCTCACTTCCCTTTGTAAATTTAAAAATCAACTATATAAGAAATATATAGATCGGAACTCCAGAGTTGACAATTTTACTATAAGCAGAAACTTTTAATTAATTTTTAATTTTTAACTGTATTTTTACTTCGTATTTTTGCTATTTGAATTTGAAGTTTTAGTGGACCACAATGAGAACTACTGGTTCTACCAGTAATTGTGTTATCCAAAAAAGTCATTATTATTATTATTATTATTAAAAGTAAAGGGAGGAAATCTTTTCCCCTTGCCCATCCTTTGTAACTCTCTCCCAGATTGCTGCTAATTTTCTCTCTGCTATTAATTTTTTTTGCTTGACTCCACAGTCTAAGGTTTTAGTGTCTAGTATGAAATAGAGATGGATAGAGAGTCTTGTATATCCATATTATCTTCTAGTTTGGTTTATTGCAAGCTAATTTACAGTAGCGTTCCAGATTTCTAGGTTTTCTTTGTTTAGCTCCCCATTACAACTTGCTCATTAGCCATGTTCTTTAGGCTAGGAGGTTCCTCTTTTTTTTTTTTTGGCAATAGCATTCAATCATTGCTTCCTCTTACAGAATTGCCCCTTCTATGGGAATTTGGGATTTTTCTTAGAAGGTAAAACTATCACCATCAAACCACAATGCCTTATCAACATTCCAATACTTTGCTCTAAAGAGAAGTATACACCAGTTTGTTTGTTTGTTTGTTTGTTTTTTTATGACTTGTACATCATTTGAAAGTAGAAAAGAATGATGACACTGACAGTGTATGAAGTTTCTTTTAAAGCTATCAGATCTGAAATCAGATTTAACACTAACCCTGGGTTATCTTAACCCAGTTATGAACAACAGGGCCCTGGCCTCTTGCCTGTTACTTAAAAAAGTCTCACTTGATCCTCTTTCAATCTCTTGGTGACCTGCTTGGGCACTCAGAAGCTATACGAAAGACATTCAGAACTCAAATATTGACTATTTTTTGCTGTAATCAATGGAGAGCATGTGAGCATGTGTCTGTGAACTGCATAGTGGTTTGCATGTGTGGCTAGGTTACTGAGTTTTTTCAGAATATCAACATTGAACGTTAAATTATAAGCACACTTGTAGACAATTTACAAATGGGTAACATGGTAAGAAGGTAATTATTATTAATAATTATACTATTAATTTTCTTAAGGGAGTGGAAATGAAAATTTAACATATGGTTTCTGGAGCATTGTGTTCTGTTGACAGAGCCTGCTCCTATTTATCTGTTCATAAGTGCTGATAAAAATTTGAGTTTCATTTTAGCTTTCTGTTCTGAATTTTTCTTGTTTAACAGCGTATCAAGCCTATGCATGGTCCTATTCAGATGTTGCTGTGTGGTGTGAGGTGATCAATCTTTCTATAGATCATTTCAGATTGTTTCTAATCTGAAGTGATACTGTGATTTATTTTTTAACTCAGTAGTACACTTCAAAACTGTTTTCACTACTAAATTATTTCAGACAAAGCTTTCTTTTGGATGGGTCACAAAGAATTTTCTAATCAGTGCCCCATGAGCTTATCACAGCAATGATTTTACAAAGTTAATTAATGTTATGACAGATGCAGAAGAGGAATACAGGAGATTCTGCAGTTTATTTTAAGTCTTGTTGGGTCACACCTCACCTTTCTAGGCTTTTATCATAAATTAATCTCATCTCACCAAAAGCTCTCTCTGTCAAAACTGAGAAAAAAACAGATTGCTAGTAATCTCAATATTTACAAGTGTGAAAAGCCAATGGGCAAATCATGACATTGAAATAGCATAACTGAAGAATGGAACACATTGGAAAACATTGGCTCTTTTCATCAGAATGTAGTTAGAATCCATGCTTATTTCTTTTTCTAGGATTTTCATGTTTCACATGGAGTTATTGGGTTCTTACAGAAACTTGAATTCTTGAGAAAAGTTTGGAAGTTGAGTAAAAGTATTGAAAAAAGTATACAAAAAAGAGATTTCAATAAGTCTTAAGAAGTGAAAAGAATCTGTTAGGTGTGTTTCTTAGCTGCTTAATCACTGTACCACAGTCTTTACAGTACCACCCTGGATTATTCAATGCAAACCTTTTCTTTAATTCACTTTTAATGGATTAATTAAATTCATGGTTCTACATTTTTCAGTTTGTGCTTCATGGTACCAGCTGCCTGTTCACTATTCCCACAGAGGTGGTAAGTATACAAACATGACATCATAGCCACATGTAATTGTTAGGTCCACACTAATGTTTAACATCACACTGGAAATAGAGGTGTTAAGAAAGTCTAATTTGATGTACTGTAGAACTATTGTCAGTCAGGTATTAATGGTGTATGTGGAAAGCATGCCATTTTTATGGTATGTTTATGTGAGGTTTTCCTCTTTTATCATATAGAATACTGGTGCACTTGTATTTTATGTGGTCTATTCTTGTAAATTATCTTTAATTTTCAAATTCTCTTTAATTCTTGTCTTAGTTCCATGCCAGTAGAAAAACTAGAAGTGGAGTTGCAGGAGGTGATAAGGAAGCGTGAAGGACCAGCTATAAAAACAGTCTTCTTCAACAAGGGACTTTAATTTTTCAATGTTTTCCTAGAGCTGCCTAAAATAAGAAATGTTATTCCAATGCAATTATTAATAAATAAACACTAGTCCAACTTATAGTTCTTAGGGTCATTCAAATATCTTGTTATTTCTGGCAAAATGACTGGCACTAACAATTTCTTTAAGTGGCAAATTACATTATGGTGGGGCTGCTATTGTGTTGTCAAAGCTGTAACAAAATGATAGGGTCTGGTGGCAAAAGTGAGTGGTGGGTCAATGTAATTGTATTTTTATATGAAGTAGATTTGCCTAATTAACACCCATTTAAACCCTTTACATCCTAACATCAGTATACACATTCTCCATTCAGTTCTCCATACATTTGATGAGGTACTAATAAGGAGAATTAGATTAAAAGTCAAGAGCTTCTTTAGTTGGTGATCCTTCCTTTTTTTCTCGTGACATTAATGTATGATTCAGGGGTTATAATGTAAGGAGAAATTAGATGCCAGTCACTATGAGGGGTCAAAGTTTTCAGTTTTTGGCAGAGACTTATGACAACTATTTCATTCTTATCAGCCCACTATTTAAAAATCTATGTATCTAGAATAGCTTCTTCATTTAATTATTTTTACTTACCATCAAACCATGCAACCTTCTAAGTTCTTTTCTTCAAATAATTTTGGCATGTTTCATGAATTATATGATTTTTGACCAACATGATGACTACAAATGGTGTTTCATTGTGTGGGAATAAACTGTAGGAAATGGATTTGTCCCATTTTCTTGTACTTGCTTGAGTGCTGAGAGAAGTGGTGTTGGAGTGCATAATTACCCAGTGGCCAAAAACACCTGATTTTTAAAGCCATATCCAGAGCTAAGGAAAGATGTGTCATCGGATAGTACTCTCCCAAACCCTCTCTTTGCTCTAATGTGGGATACTGTACCTTTGACAAAGGTGTCAAAATGATGAGAGGACATAGTACACTGGCATTTTATCAAGGAAGAGAAGAAATACTCAGTCCTCTCATACATCCAGTGGCTGGATGTTTGTCAGCAGTTATACGTTTCTTTACTATGTAAACTTTACATCCTACTTGGCTAGTTTTCTCTCGAAGTTTCCCTTTACAGTACTAGGATTGAAATGTATTTTCAGGCTAGAATAACATGATGGTTATAGAATCAGACCTGATCTACTTGACACTCAAGTCTATTTAAAGAGATAACCCCAACCCCCACCTCTATCAACCCCCTTCTGAATAAACCAGGTGATAGCTGAAATTTGATTTTTAAAAACTTGGCACTTTCTAAGACTAAATAGTCTCCATGCTTTTAAAGGACTGAATAACTTGCCTGTATTATTTATGTCTACTGAGTCAAAAATACCTACAAGAAACATCACACCATTTTAACAAAACACTCCATATTTATTGTGTAAGAGTTACATAAAGCCTAGTCAAGTGCTAATTTACATGATTCTCTAGGGACAAGAAAGAGATTACCACTGAAAGTATTTCACCCAAGAATTAATAAGATGAAAGATCAAAAGCTGTTATCTAACAAGAAAGGACACTCTAACTAACAGAATTCAAGAAAGCACACTCCAACTAACAGAATTCAATCCAGAGAACCACCTAGTATGAGTAAAATGAACTGTTACATTGTAACTTAACTGTCTTGCAGGTTCATACAAAGTGTGATCCAAATCGAAATAACAGAATATTTTCCTTTCACAACTTATGGAGCATGATCCAAATGGAAATAATACATTCTCATAACTATAAAGGACTTTCAAGAGATTCTTTGATAGTTTACACCTGCATGACCAGTATTTGTTTAAATATAACTTAAGGCTAAATTTTTTCCAAAGGGTTATGCCCATTAATTAATATATAAAACCCTCAGAATATAGAAGAGATGAAATTAAAACACCCTCTAAAAACTTCTAGTGCATAATTGCTAAAATATGTTTCATCACCCAAATATATTACATGCTGATGCAGCAAGAAGCCTTGTTACAGCTGTAAAGTTGTGAATTTCTATCCTTTTCAGAAGGGTATATTTCCAACCCAAAAAAATAGATGAGGTGACAGAAATGACTTAAACAAAATAACTTACTATTCTGTTTTAAAAGTCATGACCAATAATAACATTATTTTAAAAAATTGTTAGCACTTGCAAAAGAAGTTTAAACTACTACTAAGTGCAAATTTGGAAGTTAACAATTTTATTACATAACTTTAGTCCTACAAGTAACAAATAAATTATAACCCATTTGCTAACTCACACACAACCCTGCAATGAAAGACACCCACAACAAATTAATGACGTGTATTTCAAAGTAATAATTGCATGTGAACCCATTCATGTCTACACATGATGTCACTACCAACAGTGCTTAACACTTCTCCAGTCTAATGCTGTCATTAGCTGACATATCTTATTGAAGCAGTCACTCACACAGTTTCTATGACTGAAACAGACCCCCACTAAGCCCTGAACTTGACACACTGTTACACATGCAGACAAATCTATTTTCAACTGACTTTTTCTGATCTATACCGCGCTAAGCACATTCCACTCTTACTAGCTAATCACAAGAAATTGATCAGTACCAAGTAATCATAAAAATGAGTGATTGCATCATTAAAATCAGTAGAAGAATTTCTCATTGTTTAGTATTAGTTGGCAATGTGTGGCACAAGTATTATACTTACACCAGAAAAACATGCCTCTGTTAGCATTCTACAAGTTACTTGGTACCTAATCATGTAAAATCTACAAGCTCACACTCTTCATGAATCAAATGTTTGACCAATCCCAATCAAAGTTAAAAAATTCCCACGATATCAGTGGTTTGGAAATTACTATCAGTTAATGAAAAAAAAAAAATCTTGTGCATCTATTTGTAGTTGATGATCATCAGTTATCATTGATTACATTTAAATATTCAGTGCTTTGCTTCTATTGATTTTTCTGTTGATAGGAAATCATTACCTATATTATATATATATATTTAATGAAACTATTTCTAACATCCAAAGTTAAACAGATAATTACAAAAATTAAAATTTAGATCAAGGACAACAATCATCAAATTATAGCCTCTCCCTAAATTTGATTACTTGAACATTTGATGAAGAGCACTAACTCCATTGGAAACAACAAAACTTTTCATGGAGCAAACTAACTCTCAAGGTAGATAGAATATCATATCAGAAAACCACTTTCACTTAAACTGATGTTGATAGATTGTCAATTACTATTACCCACACATATTGGCTACCTGACCCTTAAGTTGTTGCTATCACTAAGAAACAATGACACCAAAATTTCCAGCTGTCCACATTACAAAGTGTTGCATTTAAGTCAGCCAAATAATTATGGCTACAGCAAGGGCTAGAGAACAGTGCAGATTCAAACCCATAGAGGTGGTGAGAATGCATCTGAGAAGCAAACTACAATGACTATAAATTTGAATTAAGTAATGCCACACTGTTGCAAGCTTAAGATCCCAACCATGTTACATTCTTGCAGAAATAATAGGATGCTTCATCATAAGGCATCTACTTGAACCATACGCCGTCCCACATAAACTCTGAAAAATAAAACATGCCGAAAAAATCAAGCAAAGTTTTTGCTTTATATTTGTTCATTTTTCCACAATTGTTTACCTATAGTGATTAAGATCATAAAGCCCCTGGTAGATAGTATTAAACTTCACTGTGAGGGGTGGAGAGTGGGGAGTGCATGAGCTTCATTAAGAGTAGAAACAGGGAGGGAGGGCATCTGGAGTTATCACTTCGGCATACTTTATGGAGGGCTTAAGGAGCCTTGCCCCCCAAGGTGGTCCAAAGGTGTGCTCTCCCTGGAAATTTGGAAATTCTTTAGTTATAGAAATGGAATTTCCTTAATTTTAAGAAAAACTAGGAAGCCTTGTCTGCCAAAAAGTTACTATTATTTTACATACAAAAATCTCCAACATAATTGATATGATGTATTTTAATAGCGAAGGCAAAGTACGCAAATTCAAACATGTTCTCTTGAAGGGCTCAGATCTTTTCTCAACAACTTTGTTCTAACCTTAATATCCTTAACATAACCTTACCCGATTCCAAATGCAATCAGATGAGATAATAAAACAGCAGGTACAACAACATAGAAATTAATGTTCATTAATTCTGCGCTGTGGAAAGAAAACATAACACTAGAAATATTTTATCTTAATTAATCAATTCATTATAAACAAATTTCATATTGATTTGTCATCCACTACCAAGCAGAGTCTGTCAAGAAATATACAATTTTATTCAAAAGAACAACTTGGTTTAACAATATACATACTTATTGCCTTAAAAAGTAATGTACAGTCTGTCACTATAGTAGAAAGATATTTGATCCCCCAATAAATTATAAGGGGGAATAGGAATAGCTAGGAATTTCAATGAATTTCGTCGATAGGTGTTTGCATTACTTTTGCACAATACTGTAGTCTCTTCTGTTATTGCATGAGAAGCCACTGCATTTTTGTATTTTATCTAAATGAATAACCACACCCATTTTTCTAGGTCTATAGTTAAGTTGGCATGTATATATTAACTAACGCATGGTTAAGAGGCCAAAAAAGCATTTTTTACTCTGTCTTCCTAGATATCCCCTCTTACAAAAAGCCAATTCTTGACTACCATAACAATTTTCTCTAAAAACAGCAGCTGATGACAGAGGTACTTAATGTGGCTCAGCCATATTTTCTGAATTAAAAGTCAAATGGTTTGTTACCTTCTCATGACTTTAGTGCCTCTGATACTCAATTTTGCCCTACGTGGCTTCGATTTACATCTGGGATGTTGCATCTTCCATTCCCTTATTTAATCAAACAAACCAACAGATTATGCAGGCATAACACAGACACAGGAACAGTCAGAAATGAATCCTACGTACCATGGAAACTCACCAATTTGGGTATCACTTATTCCTAAAGTTTTTTATCATCAGCTTTGTATGTGATTGTTTAAAGAGTTCACAAGTGTTATAATAGAATTGGTCCATGCTTTTTGCAGTGCACATATTGAGGTATGACACACTGGAAGTTTGATGAGCACTCAAGAAGCAAGAATTGCACTTTCCCGCTTATCAAGTAACTCTTGTGCTTCTCTCAAACCCTCAAAACTTCTTACATTCATTTATGCCTCAACAAAGCACATTAAGTTTGAACTAATTCCTCAGTTTTTATCTTCCTGACTGTCAAAGTTTCCAAAGAACCAGTTACCACTCCTCATATGGATTGTGAATTCAATCTCTGATTATACTAACAGACACCTACTTCTGTGGTTGCACTTCAATTCTGCTTGACCACTCCCAAATCCAATCTGTGTTTTGCTCTTGTGGAAGGATTGGATCACCCTATGATCAATTAACATGAATATGTTTTTTACTGGCTGTTTAACTGTTAGTATAACATCAGTTCAAGGATTTATATGTGATTCGTCCTTCAATAAAGATCGAGGCTTAGAAAAAAAGTGATCATCATAAAAACAGTAATATCTAACACCTCTAGCAATCACAATCTTATTAGTCTATATGGGTTCAATTGCTTTATGGCCTCGTAATACAAAAAAGGTTTTTTGACGAAGCTTCTATTTCATTACAATGCGGAAAATCTGACGGTATTGTCAAAAATGCCTTACATACTGTGTCAAAATTATATCTTATTTCGTCCAAAGTGATTTTTCTCCTGTAAATCCAAATAATGAGTGACATCGCGTTTAGAATTTTAAACACAGGTACATGTTTATGTGACACGAACGTGAGGAATGGTACAGACCTCTCATGTGAATCTTTATCGCGACTACATTGCTAAGGTCCAAAATAATCATAGCGATTGAAACCAAATTCACCCCCGTTTAGTAATACCACTTTAAACGTCTTAAATTAACTCAGTCAATCTTTCCCTAGAACAAAAAGTGGTTTTGTAACGATGATCGCAAGCTCAAAATCAATATGTGAATGAGCTGAAGATCAGTAATATCGTGCAAACATGCATGAGACGACAACAATTCCACGTACCGTCCGTAGGTTCCCTTGAGGACATTGCTCCCTTGGTGAACCAGACGGGCTTTTTTCGCCACTAAAAAAGTTAAGTAAAAAAATAACAGTTATCATAACCTTGCCTAAGGCAAACATGCTTAAGGTTAACAACCTCTACGTCAAACGAACTATGTGCCGATGAGATGATGCCCATCTCTCTGTAAAAAGTAGAACATTCAGATCCTGCACCTTGAGCTTTGTTTCGACAATTGTTCCTGTACCGCTTCAGCAAGAAGATCTTCCATCGCCCCATCTTCCGAAATAACTGGAGAATGCTGAGCTCCATTGCCATTTCTAAACGAGCCATCGAGCTTTACCCAAGAGCCTTTAAAATATAGACAGTCAAGATTAGGAACGCCGACATATGATGTCGATGTTATGACGCAGTCCTAACTTGCGTTCGTTAAAACGCATTATACGTTGAGAATCCTTACCATTCAAAGACTCAGTGGAGCTATGACTGCCACCATTGACATTATTTGCCATAGTTTTTAACTCATAGAATAAACCTGTATATGCAACAACAAATACGACCGAAAAAGCCACAGGAATCTTCCCCAAGACGACCTTAAACTCTGCCTTTGTTTTGATGGCTAACCTGAAACTGTTCGGTCTATATTTACATTCTCTTTGATTAGCCAATGAAAAGGCCCATTTATTGTCACATGACTAAAGCCGGCGCAACAGCAATCGGAAGTAGATTTCCCTGGGTACGTCATGTATGGGAAATTATTATGTGTGAAGTATAGGACATAATATACATGATATGTTCAGAGAAATGCGCGCGCCATGATTGGTCAGAACGAGTTCTGTATATTTCCATAAAGCACGCACCTTACGTCACATGAGCGCACTGTTGAGATATAATGCACGTAGCCTACGTCATCGGTACGAACGCGCTCAATTCACGATACATTTTATAAAAGAAATAAGAATACTTGTTCCTCGAGCATTGTTGAGTTATATAAGCACTTAGGAATTTTTGGGAACTCTTTGGTATCTTGAAAAGTTTGGTGAAATTCCGTTGTTAATCAGTATCCTTTTCTAATGAAATTACTTAGAATTTAACGAAGAGTAGTAGAGATCGAAAATGATGACGGTTCATGTAGGAGGTGAGATGGCAATTTCACAGGATTTTCACGGGAGGGATGAGAGGATTTCGCGTTCCCATGTAATAGCACCCCCCACCCCTTCACCCCCTCTTCTCCATCAAGCGTCACGAAAGTTACTATGCATTGAAGTAGTAAATTCATCCATTAATGCTACATGCCATCTACAAGCATTTTATTTTCCTTAAAGTGTGAATATTTGCACCCCAATCGAAGTGCAGGCAGATTTGGATACCATTTTCGCCGTAAGTCTAAGCTAGTGAACGCTAAACTGTATGTTTACTTGTTGTCATGCAAGGACGAAGCACAAAGACGTGAACTCAGTCCACAAGAATGTGTTTAAACACTCTTAAGTAAAATTCTTTGATGGTGTGCGAAGAGACCGAAACGGTAACTCCAGATTCCCAGGGGAAAGCATTTCTGCAAACTGAAAATGAATAAAAGTCAATCGTGGAAGGATATTGCACCTGAAGGTGAGAAAGTGGCTGATCTAGGGCGAACAAGTTCGCAGCCACCGCATACACCACAAGCCACGACAAATGAGCACAGTTTTGCTGCGGTAAATTCATCTTCAAAGTCAAGCATGGATGAAATGCGACGAAGGATTGTTCAACTTAACAAGGAATTGGAACAAGAGAGAACCCTTGTAAAAAATCTGAGAAGAGACAAGGTATTGGAGGTCAGACAAGCACGAGACGAAGAACAGCGAAAAGCGATCGCCATGCAAACCGAATTAAGGTCGAAACTTCACAAAGAAAAGGTAAATGAGCTAACGGCTTTGAAAGAACAAGTTCGTAAAGAAAAAGAGAAGGAAATATTGCTGATAATAAGACAAAAGGATGAGATTTTAAGAACTGCTCAACAAGCTTGGGCAAAGGAGAAAGACGAACTTAAATCGAAGATTCGTAATGAACTTCGTGGCGAAACGCGGGAAGACAGCAAACGTGAATTTGAAAAGGAACGCTGTAGAATGGAGCAGGAAATTGCAGATCTCTATCGACAGAAACGTGACTTGGAAGAAACACTTAAGCTTGTTCAGGATGCTGATAAAAGAAAAATAGAAGATATTCGAAGAATACACCACGAACATGAAGCAGAACTAGATAAATTCAAGAGAAATTCATGGCAAGAGAGCAGACAGCAGGTAAGTTATTGCCAAAGTTCAATTTATATTTATATTTGCCTCCCTTTAAATTTATATTGTGAGATTTCCGGGCTTGAATTCTTTGTTTTGCTGAATGATGCCGACACTTAAGACATCAATGACCCCCATATTTTGGATTGTGAGTTCCGCTTGTAACTGTTTCGTTAACTAGACTAAAAGGATAATGTTCCGCTTGACATCGTTTGTTTACACGTGAAGATAATTCAAGCTTGTGTCCCGTTGCTGTTTTATCCAGCTTGGAGTTTATTTGAGGAAGTGATTTTTAATTGCTTGTATGATATATTGTGAGTATAAATTATTCAAATCCTGTTTTTAAAATAGACAAAGATAAGGTGTTTTAAATTTATTTGAATTTTGAGCTAATTCAAACACACCTGACAGGAATTAAGTAAAAACTATTAACTGAGTCGCTATCTTCATTTCTTCAAAGGTTAGAGATTTTTTTGATATTTCTTCCCAACAAATAATTTTCCATCATGTCATGAATTCAAATACATGAAACTGTGTTACACGCATTTTGAAGGAGAGCAGAGAAGTGTTCGATTTCAAAACAGATATCACTTTACATGTACATTTCATGGATGCTGTTATCCAGTTTTGTTTTGTTTTGATTTTCCTTTTAATTTTAGACATAGGGTAAAGTCTTTTGATTATTTCATAAATAGTAAGTAAGTATTGTGTTTTTGTATCAATGGTAAATATACCAAGAAAAAAACTAAACTTCAAGAAAGAAAATGGGAGTGTTCCATTTCTGAGCACTTTTGATATGGTTTTGTATGGGCATATCAAGGGTATAAATTCATGGTAAGTGTCATTGATTAGTCCAGGAGCTATGAATAACCGGTTGCATGAATGGGTAAATAGCCATATAATCTTAGCTTGCTATTCACACATTGCTTCCACTCAAAGAGCTCAAACATGAGTCATCATCATGCTAAAACAACATACATATAAATTTGTTATAGTGTAAGGTTAGCTGGAATGGACTGACACTGCACCCCAGATGAGACATTGACTCATCAGAACTTGGACAACCAAATATCCAAGAAGTAATCTGACATCAGATATTAACTATCTTGCAGATGGCAGAAATTCGTCAGTTGCTTAACATAATTGAACAACTTGAAAAGAAGCTTGGATTAGAAGCTGGGTATTCCATGAGACTTAGACTGGAAAAGGACAACTTAAATGACTTGTTAAAAAAATCCACAACATTTGATACTTGGGACAGAATGATGTCAAGTGGGAAAAGTGAGCAGGCAACCCCTCCAGGAACTCCTGTATGTATCTCTTGTTCCTTTACTTTTTCCTTTTTCCTTTTTATGTTTTTGAAGGGTATTTGTTTATTGGCCCCAAACCCATTAACTAGTTTTTGTTCAAGAAATGATTAAATTTCTCTGAAAATGGATCTAACAGGTACAGCTGGAACATTTGACCCTTGTCTCTTGATTAACAACTTGCACAGCATGCAGTTTTGTGTCATGAAATATAAGTGTTAACAATCAAAATTTTGTATGATAAAAAAATCTGGGCACAAGTTAGTTATTTACAACAAGCCTGTCCTTCAATATACTCAAGAATCATTAAGCAAGCTTCATCAAATTTCTATGTTTGTCAGTGAATTTTACATTTATCTTTGTCTTGAAAGTTTTAAAAGACAGACATGGTTCAGTTATTTTTACCTGACTTGGAATGCTTGACTCCTGTGCATTAATTTTACCAATGAGTGAAATTGAGGGAGGTTTTCCTGCAGTCTGGACAGTGTCATTGATTAAATTCATATATAAATAAAACATGAACTTTAGAGAATTGTTTGTTCAAGAAAGGAAACCACAAAATTTCATCATTAATTCATTTTAATATATGCAAACAAAAAGCATTTGCTTGGAGTTATCTGGAGTGACTGTAAATGTTATCTGACGATATTTATAATCGTGATAACAGAAGTCTTAAAAAATGGTACAGAATATCCTAGATTTTTTTAATTAGAACACTCTGTTGTTTGTCAAAAAAATATCAAATGTGTATAGCTGAAGTCTTTCTATTGACTCACAAATTGAAATGTTAATGTTAACTTGCATGCTCACCCTACACCACTTATAACTTTATCCTTAGGATTCTAAAGGCAGCAGTCAAGAATTTAGAATGCTGCAAAGAAAGAATGTGGAACTTAGTTCTTTGGTTCGCAAATTGGATGAAAAAAATCAACAACTGGCTACTAGAAATGCTGAATTGGTAAGTTTTAAACACCAGTCAAATTATGACTTGTCATGTGTGAACAACCTGCTTCTAGATCTGTCAACATCTATTCTTTCTAGATTCTGAACTTTTCCTCCATAGAAAAATGGCTCACTATGCTAATTAAATAGTATATAGTAAATCTGAAGAAATTATTGTAAGTTAGTGGGTACACATACATTTGTTAGCTTCTTCATGTTATGAAAACATTAGCAAAACAGTGCAAGAATTATAATAAGGTTTGATAAAGAGTAAGACATAAATTGACTTTCTGTAGTTACAAGATTGACTCACATCAATGTTATAAAATATTGTTATCCCAAGGAAATTTCTTACTATAGAATATAATTTATTTGGTTACATTCTATTTATTTTTGCAATAGAGGTATTAGGATTCATGTTTCAAATACATGTAATTCTTGGGATTATGATTTTTTTAGGAATGTATCAAAGGAAATAATAACATTACTGTGTAATAAGATGCTCTGACATGAAGAGATCAGCCAATTATGGTTGAAATCCAAACCATTTTTGAGTTAATTTTTGAGATCTTCTTGAATTCACATAGTGTGCCACAAGAGAGGCTAGATATGATTGACTTAGTCTAAATTTGCAAATGATGTGTGGTGTCCTTCTTGGAGAAAAATCAAGATCTATAGCTAACAATATGCTTGATGCCAAATACTATCAAATAATATTTGATATTAAAAGGATTAAATGTTATGCCAAACTTAATTTTCAGAATAGGGTTCCTGATAGAACAGAGTAAAAACTATCCAGAAATTTTCCTTCCGTTCTTTTAGTGTAGTATTTAATTGACTATGACTTAACAAAATGAAGGGCTTGTCCAAGGTGGTGCTCTCACTGTATTTTCCAAAGGAGCCATTAGCATTCAGCTGGTATTTATCTGGCAACTACAAATATAAAACCACTGAACCAAACTACTAAAGCCAAATTATCTTTTTATACCCTCCTCCTCCTCCTCCTCCTCCTCCCCTCCTCCTCCTCCTCCTCCCCCCCCCCCCCCAATCAACCGATGCAGCACCACAGTTTCTTTGTATCCTTACAACTTCTATTACAATTAATATGATCACCTAGAACTCACTGATCCAAATGCTGGAAGCAAGCATTTAATCATTAATTGCTTAATTGTGTGAGATAACATGATCAGCTAATTTTGGTTTGATGACCTCAGTAACAGAACTGCTTGGCACAGTTAAGTTTCTCACACAAGATGTCAAGAATTTCTTGATATTAGTAAGATTTACAAACAGTTGTCAAAAGGTAATTAAATATTTTCTCAATGAAGGTACAGTAGTCTTCTAAATATGAATTTATCACTGCTTAATATCTGTACGTTGTTAGCTGGCTGAGTTGGAGAAACTTGAAAAGGACAATCGAGAAAAAAACAGAAAGCTTGAAAGGAAGAATACAGATTTAGCACAAACAAACAAGAGGCTTGAAAGTCGGAACAAACTGTTACTTGATGAAGTTAACTCTTGGGTAAGTTGTTTATATCAAGAGTGAAATACAGTCTATGTTCCATTTGCTCAGTTGAAAGTTGAATCAATTAAGTTCAAATATATGTGACATAAATTCACTTTTACTTATCAAAATAATAGTCTATTAACTCCTCAGAACTGATTTTTAATTGTCCCTTCTAGCTGCTACACATTTCTTTGTAAATTAGTTGTTAGAATTTGGTGTTAGAACAAGTTAAAAATTTCTACCTGACAAGTTTGAGTATTCTCATTACCTGTCTATTGATAGTGTAAGGATATTTTAAGGAGAAGTTTCATGTTAGTCACTTGTGGGAGTTAAAAGAAAGCATACTTAGTGACAAGTTCAGTGGTAATTTAAGGAATCATTGACAGAATTAGTATCATTTATGCTGCATTGTTGTGGTGAGTAGAGAAGTATAACCAAGTTCTAATGGGTCACTATTTATAGTCTCGAAAGTTTGTATACTTTAGCAATATATTATTTTTTATGACGCTTTAATTGTGTCATTTGACTTGAAAACCTGATTCTTTCCTTATTCATTGTCATGCCACAGAAAAAGACTTTAACCAAAAAGAAGGAGAATACTGTAAAACGAAGGGGACCTGCAAATAAAGAGGTAAATGAGGCTTTAATGTGCATGCATTACTTATACACACTGCAGTCACTGTGGTACTATGTTTCCAGTACATAAATAACTTTTAGTCTGAGATAGACATGTAGACATTTTAACCATGTGAAAGTTAAACATTATGCATTTATAAAATTGGTAATGGAAACTGGCGTCTACATTAGACAACTGTGCATAATACTATGGCAAAAATGAAAATGTTAAAACATCATTTGCATGTTCTCAGAGATGTGGGATGAGTGTGGCAAAGGGCTCATACGTAACACATGATTAGGGCCAAGATTATTACTTGATGTGTGAATTTTGCCTGACCCATGAATATTTTTTTTCATTTACATTTCCCTGAAACCTTGTACGAAACTAGCAAGATTTGAAGTTTTTCCTTTTATAAGCAGGATGCTTGAAGTTTGGGAACTTTTAACGCATTTAAAGCAAATTCAGTTTTTGCATTGTGTAGTGCTAACAGAGTTGACAGTATTACCCACTTGTAATTACATGTACCAATGACTTGACAAGGGCAAGAAGCTGACAAAGCAGCAAAATGAGTGCGCATGCTAGTAACACATGATAAGTGATATGTATGCAGAGGAATGGGAACAGCAACATAGTGTTACTGTAACACTATAAGGCAAAATGGCAGCATGTTTAAAAATTCCCTTGATTGTTTGTTTTCATTTTGCGGGGAGAAGCTTAAACCTAAACAGATAAGGTTGCCGTTTTCAAGAGAATTTCCGAGGAACCTCCTCCATCACATATCTCACTCATCAAAAAAAGATCTTGCAGTGACAGGTGCAAATTTAGCAACTTAAGTAGAACATCCATAACATGGCTATAAAGTTTGCGGCACCTGTTATCCCTTTAGCGCTTCTTGACGTCTTGCCTCTTTATTGGGCAAAACCCCTAGAGAAAAAAATTTCTTTTCTTGGCAGAAAAACCAGCATCAGTTTGTTTGCAGAGGAAGAATAGTAGCCCCGAACAATCAAATGGCTCAAATAGCAGAGCATGCAGCGTACTCATTTTGCTGCTGTGTGTAAGCAGCCCATATGCATCTTGCATAACAAACAGTTTCATTCAGGAAAAATAAGATCTAACTTGAGTTTACTTTCTAATGGATGAAAACAACATGTGCAGATAGAGGTACATTTGATTCAATGATTACAATTGGTATTTCCATCAAAAGGATGAGCTTGGTGAGTTAAAGGCCCAAGTAAGAGAGCAGACAAGAACTATTGCAGACCTGAAGCAAAGCATGATGGAAAAAGACCGAAGGATTGAGCTCCTAAGAGGCAGAAAGAAAAAAAGCAAGCAGCAACCAGTAAGTCTATCATAAGAAATCAAACAGGTTGTACACATTAAGCTGTTAGGTTTATGAAACTTCAGGTAAAATGGTGACCATTGCACTCAACAAGTCAATTCTTTTCAGGTTAGCCTCATGTCACAACCCACAGATCTTTTCCCAGTGGCTGATGACGATACCTTATCAGTTCATTCTGACTTTAGTGAAGCTTCAGAAATGGTTAGTGCAGTGTTGTGCAGAAATAGTTTTTTTTTTCCTGAATTAAATGTCTCCCTGTACTTATCATTTTCTGTAACTTGTTATCCATAATTATTTTTCTCGCATTTGTTTTTATTGTATTGACAAATTTAATGAGGCAATGTAAATATTATTCCTACTGGGCAATAAGGTGTGAAATGATAATATAACATTGTGTGATTTACATAAAAATAACTGTTGGACAGAACTCAAACATTTTAATGTATTGATAGCAGACCAAGGTAATGCATGTGTGCTATTATCATTTTGATAATTGTGTTTTTTACAACTTAATTCCTCAAGTATCTGTGTGCTGGTTCAGGGTTGAATACCTGTCAAGAAAACAATTTTCTAGCACAAGACAAAACATTCCTTTGTCTCTAAAACATATCTGCAAAGTCGAACCTAACCAATATATGTAATTATGTTATTACTTGTACTAGTAATAAGGTGCTCTGTAAAAATAATTTATTTTGAAAATATCATGCAAAAGAGAATCTTAAAATATTAGTTGAGTTATGGTTATTTTCCACATTCTGTGCCTATAACACCTACACACATGCTCACACATGTAAGGCATTATTATCTACATTTGTTTCTTGTCAATCCATCCAATGAATTCAGTGCAATTCCATTTGATTTTGTTGCAGCTGTTAAGACATTGTAAGTGAGTTTCACAGCACCAAACAAAATTTATAGACGAGTAGCTCTCTTAATTTTGTTTTGATTGTAGATCATTTGAAATATTATGCAATTATACAATTTTTATGAATCCTAAAACCTTCATATGGATCAGAAAACTGCATCATATGGCTCAAATCATACCCATATTTAAGCTATGAACTTAAAGGGCTTTGTTTGGTATAGACCTTTCTCAGTTCAATACCATTATGCAACTTGTACTTTTTATTGAAGTAAGTGATCTTGAGGTGGCATTTTTTTCCTGAGTTCCTAGTTAACTGCTTTTAAATACAAAATAAAATGATTAATATTTTTCTCAATTGTTTTCAGTCATCTAGTGAAGATGTTGACAGCAAAAGAATAAAAAAGCTTGCAAAAGAGCTTTTAGCTTTAGAGCGAGCTTATGCCCTTCTCCAAGCTCAAGTAAGCAGTGCAGTGGATGTTGAAAGGGATGAGATGGTATGTTCATTTGGTTCAGGTATCACATTTTACACTTTTTTAAGTATGGCTCCTCATTATAATAGAACAATTAATGTTTCAAAGTCTCTTATTTTTTTGAGAACTTCCCTTTTTTTGCATGATTGTAAAACTTATAAGCTATACTTGGCTTTGAAGCCCTTCTGCAATACTCCATAATCTTAGTAGTGAAGTAAATTTAAAACTCTGTAGCTGTAATTATCATAACCAGACAGATCCCAAAGATATGTTTAACATTATCAATATTTAAGATTTCAAGTATCTCCTACCAAAACAGTGTTCGTTTTTTATACAGGCAAAACAGCAGCTCCAGTCAGACTTGCTTGAAAGTCAAACAAGAATTCATGAACTTGAGAGAATGATAGACAGTGGACAGGTGAAGTACCATGCTTTCTGATTGTGATAGGTGTATAATGGAGTGCTGTTGCTCGACCTTAAACTCAGTTTTGTGTGAAGACACTAGTGACATGTCCGTTGGAGATCAGGGCCAGGTTGTTTTAAGCTGAAGATAACCCAGTGTTCGTGTGAAATTTGATTTCAGATCTGAGAGTTTTAAAAAAATTTTTTAGTTCAATTTTTTTGTCAACAATTTGATTTTTGGATGCTCTAAAAAGAATAGAGAAAATTACCCGGAAAAAGACTCTTGAATAGAGAAATAAAGTAACCTGGATTAAAATTTGACCCTGGCTTAGCGCTAATCGGCCTTCGAACAACTGGGCCCACGTTGTTGCTGCATAACAACTATTTTAACAGGTAGCAGATTACGTTGTATGACAATAATAATGATAGTTATCATTTTTAATGTAACAGCAAGGCTTTATATAATCAAGGGTAGTAGTTACATAGATTTTGTCATATTCACCTACACTAGAATTTGTTTATAGGGTTCTGGATTACAAGAAATATCCAATCTTCAAGAAGATAACAAGGCTTTGTATCAAAAGGTATCGTTAGTCAACTTTACATTAGTATTTTTGTGGTACCTGGATTTATTTTGCTGTTGTTGATATAAATGTTCTTGACTAGCCGACATCACGCGACATGTACGATCTTTCGACAAATTAAACAATATTTCTATTGAACACATTCCTGACTTAGTTCTTTTGTCCTATGTTATAGCTGGTGGCAGCAGAACAAGCCCGAGATAAGGCACAAAGTGAGCTGGATAAATACTCCGAGGTAATTAAAAGGACGTTAATTACAGCCTCAATTCAGCTCTCGTGTTTGTCTTTAATCTCAGTGTTATTGCATATATATTGTTTTGTTATTTCCAAGACTTAGAATGTGCTAAATACTTTGTGTATATCCAGGACATGCGAGAGTTACAGGATCAAAGAGATCTGCTGGAATTCGAACTGGAAGAAATGTCGCAGTTATCTGTAAGATTTTAAATATGTATATTACTAAACTAAGAAGTGCTTCTTAAATGAAACGAGAGTCAGAGAGACCTAAGCTTTGTGCTAGAATTTGCTTGCTAATGGCGATGCTGAATATTTTTTCTTCTCGGGGTGTCATCCTGGTTTTCTGATCATTTCTTAAGTTTAAGAAAACTTGAAAGATAGGAAGCAAATATAAGAAATGCACTCTGTTACAAAAAACTTGCCTTGGTGTTGTTTTTACAATGTTTCGGTGGCGATTGGCTAAAATTACAGAAAGAAAGAAGAGTTTTGTGGTATGATAAGTGGAGGTTTTTGGGAGGAAACGTCTGTAAAAATGACTGTGCAGGAAGAGAGACTTTAGGTATGATTTACCACTCTAACAACTTTTTAGACTGCAGGGTCAGAGGACTGGGATTCAAGAAAATCCAGAAATGGCCTTGAGTCATTTTCATCGCCAAGAATGCTGGTCAGTCACTTTGGACATCTTCATGTTCATCTAACAGCGTAGTGTTCCCATACTCAGTTACAAAATTTGCATTCGGCTATAAATTTAGAGAGTTTGTTATTGTTTTCTGTCACTTACTGATATGATTTTCCTTGACGTAGAGTAATGATGCTGCTGTTCTTACGTTGGAGGACATTAAAGCCCTTCTTGAGGAACTGGGATCGGAAAAGGTATATTCGAGCCAAAGAATTACGGTTAGATCGCAGAACGGCTAGATCGCTCCATCAAATAAGTGACTTCGCTCCCAACATAACTTACTTCGCTCCATGTAGAAAACTAAGGTAAAGGTAGCAAAACTAAGGTATCTAAATTGATAGTCCATTAAATGACGTGCATATCTTACCTAACAATCGATTAATATCGCTCGCGCGCGCTTGAAATAAGTCCGAGCTACGCAGAGAGAACAATTAAAGCTTCATGTAAGGGACTCACGAAGTGTAATCTACTTTATTAATTAATGATGGCGGATATCAGTTTCCTGACATCAAACAACAAAAAAGGCCACACTGGACAGCATTGGTATTTGAATGATCTTTTTCAATACACTTCAGACTATAACATCATAATTTATTCCATGGTCATTTATTCCATCATTGATATACAAACATACATCGGTAGCTCGGTGGCTAATCTGAAGGACAGAGCGAGGACGATGTACTCGAATTATCGCAAGCCACATCATCACCTATAAACTTTTAAGATCATTGGTAAGAAATACCTCACATTTCAACATGGAGCGAAGTAACTTATGTTGGAAGCGAAGTGACTTATTTGATGGAGCGATCTAGCTTTCGAGTGGAGCGATCTAACTTTTGGTTAGAGCCATCTAACTGGGAGCGATCTAACCGGATACCGAGCCAAACGTGAGCTGGTATCCATTGTGAATATCGCAACTGCTCGAGACGTACATTAGAAGGCAATCAACTATGTATATTTGTTGGCTTTCGTTGCTTAATTTTGCGGCACCTTCTTGTAAATAATTGCATCGCAACTTTTCAAACCATACCAAAATTACAACTTTTTGGCCGCATACTAAGTGTAAAAGCTATAGAGAAATTTATCGTGACACTTCGAACAGGTTTCATCCAAAAAATTGCACTTAAAGTAACTTCAGTGTGCCAATAGATATTTATTTGTTGGTATGGCCTTCTTTTGCCTGGACTCGTTTATATTTTGGATCAGCACTTTTACTGACTACACGTGCAACTGTACTTGGCTGATGAATTGGATTATTTTTAGGAAGATGTTTTGTCCCCAGTACAAAAAAGTGCTCTTAAACAAGCCAGAATCATGCTGGAATCAATGGATGAGGTATGAATTTTCTCTCGCCTACTCTTTTCCTCTTCCACAAAGGTATCGACGAACTACAAGGCAATAGGAATAACTTGGAAAATTCACTCTTAGCTTTAAGGTGCTCATAATCCTGAATATAAAGCTGCTATAATGCGTGTTTCATCCTCTATGAATTAGAAAATCCATCACATGGAGATTACTGAGATGGCATTGAGAGACAAAGTCCGGGACTTGGACTTGGGTGTAAGTTTATTACGTCTTTTTTTTCTCCATAAATAATAAGAGTTACAATTGTATCTTTTTTTTCTGCGTCTTGGCAATACATTCGATTTGGTCCGGTTGTTTGGCTTCCTCGCCATTTTCAGTCCAGTTACGAATGTGCAGAATATGTTAACATAAGAAAATTTGAAACAATTTTGGTGCCTTTAAGTTTAGTGTTAGGCTTATGTCTGTGCATCGATTACGAAGCACGAAATTTTATGGTAACAAGAGTCCGCCATCACTTCCGGCAATTCTACTTTTCGATAAAACCTGGCTCCAGAAACTGCAAAACTCCATGAAAAATTTCCTTTTTGATTTTTGATTTACACAAAAAAAAAACGAAAAATATGATGCCGTTTTTGCCGTTTTTCTCGCCTTTATGAAAACAAGTGCCTTTTTTCGGTTGAGGTGGAGTATTTTAAGCATTCCTCTCTGGTGCTGCTGAAGTCAATTTTCTCAAGTTTCTTCCGCTCCTTGATCAGTAAGCTATCATTTTTGACAATTTTTGTGATATATTTAGTACAACAGTGAGTCCTTGAAGTCTGACCTTGATGAAACCAGAAGCCTTTCATTACTCACCTGTGATCGTGAGACACTTGCAGACTTGCAGTGGACTAAGCTGGATAACATTGAACTCTACCAAGAGCAACGAATGGAAGCAATGAAATATCTAAAGCACGCAAGAGTAGTAACAGAAGACACGTGTTGTATGACAGATTTGACTGGGGATGATTTAGTTAGTCTTGAAAACATAGGCAGGAATTACCCTCACGACTTTCCAGATAGAGGAGAGACAAGTGGAAAGAGTGATAAAGATTGCATGACGGATCTTGCATGGTGGGAGTTAGGAGAAATGGAAGAAACCTATGTTCGTTCATTCGCACATGGAAAATGTAAAGGTGAGGTAGAAACTGTAGATAATGAAACAGACATAAATTGCCAAGATCTTGAGGAATTAGAAAGTAAGAAACAAGAAACAACGGCAGGTAGATCGAGTCGGGAGGATAGTGACACAGTGGCGGAAATAAGTTGGGAAGAACTAGATCAACAGGAAAACGAAAAATCTAATTCTTCTTTACCAAGAGGGGTTAGCGAGAGCAACATGGACATGGGAAGTCATGGACATGAAGTAGGAATTGTTACCGACCTCAGTTTGGCAGAACTTGCCCTCATGGAAATTAAATACTTAGAATGTATCGAAAACCTTCACGAGGTCAAATCAGGTGTAGTTACGGAGAAGGACGAGATGACTGGGTTTTCATCCGTTGAATGGGTGGAAACTTTACCTGAAATTGTGCTGGACACATTTCCAGAAGATCTCGCTTGCACAAAAGATCAGTGCGAGATGACAGAGTTGAAATGCGATGACATAGCAAAGTTGAGTAACAAGTGTATTGACTACAAACATAGTCTTGAAGAACTGGAAAAGAGGATTGCTCTTTTTGACGTTGAGAAAAAAGAGGAGAGTTGTTCTACAGAGTTCACGTGGAGTGATATTGATAGCTTACAAGAAAAATGTTACAGTTATAAGTGTATTATCAGTGAACTTGAAGACAAAATCTCCCTTTTTGAAGTCGAAAAGAAAGATAAAAGTAGTTCCACAGAGCTTTCTTTGCAAGATCTCGTAAACGCCAGATTCAGTGTCGATACAAAAGAAGTTGAAACTATAACAGATGAAAAAGATTTTTTGGACAACAAAGATTTACCAGAGATCGTATTCGAGACCTATCCAGAGGCGGAGACTAAAGGTGAGTGTGATACAACTCACGGAGTGTGGGAAGAAGTTGTGGACCTTAAGAACACTTACAGAGATTACAGGGAGAACTTGGAAGATATGAAAAACAAACTTGCTCAGTTTCAAGTGGAGAAAGATGACAAAGAGAGCATAACTGATATAGCCATGCAAGATCTTGCTGATCTGGAAAGTTTGTACAAGGAACATTTGCATGATGTGGATTCAGATTCAAATTCCATATTAAGTCATGCTGAAAAAGAGTCGCGGCAATGCATGACAGAACTGACGTTTGTCGAGCTTTCGGAGCTTGAGGATTTTTACATTGAGAATGCTGCTCGTCAGGAGGAAAGTCTACCGATGGTAGAAAAATGGGAGCAAGAGAGCATGACAGACATTACACATGACGTCCTTCAGTACCTTGAGGAAGTAGAAGAGCTTTACAGACAAAAGACGAGAGCTGGTGCAGACGAAGAGGTAAGAAAAGAAGAGAAATACACTGCGACAGATCTGACAGTTTCGATTCTCGACCATTTGTTAGAAGGGGCAAATGGTCTCCTGGAGTTCAGTACAGAGAAAGTGGACAAGATGATCTCGACAGACGTAACCATTCCCGTCCTCGAGCCTCTACATCAAACTGAAAAACTTCACCAGGGGTATCCCAAAGTAGACAAATGGGTAGCTACAGAGCTAACTTCTGATGGTATAGAATATTGGGGGCAAGAAGAGAAATTACACAGGGAACGTTTAAATGGTAGGGAAGAAAACAAAACAATCGCTGACATGGGAATCGAGCAGAGATATGATGTGGAGATTAGTAGTTTGCGAGGAAAAAGCGAAGAACTTGAGAATGAAAAGAATTCGGTGGAAAGGTTAACTGTGGAGACAATGACATATCTTACCGTCTCGGATCTTAAGTGCCATGAAAACGTTGATGCAGTTAATGATGTGTGCTTTGCTGAGAAGCACAGTGTTGAAACCATGACTGATTTCACTCTGTCGGACCTAAAATACTTGGAGGCTGTGAAAGGGCCAAGAAATGAATGTACTCCTGATAGAAATGCGGAACCACAGGCCAACAGATATGGAGCCAAAAGTGTCCACAGTTTGACTGCTTCGGATCCACAGCTACTGGAAGGTGTTGAAGCCTCTCATAAGGTATGCCTTGTTGATGGGGAGGACAAATTATATTTCAGAATTGGAGACAAAGAAAGTGTGGGAGTAATGACAGATTTAACTGCGTCCGATTTGAAATACTTAAAAGATGTTGAAGCCGCTCATGAGGCATGTCTTGTTCATAAACAAGAAGAATTAGATGCCAGAATTGTGGACAAAGAAAGCGTGGAAGTAATGACAGACCTAACTGCATCTGATTTGAACTACTTGGAAGATGTTGAAGCAGCGCATGAGGAATGCCTTGCTGATAAGCACGAAGAATTAGACATCAGAACTGTGGACAAAGAAAGCGTGGAAGTAATGACAGACTTAACTGCATCTGATTTGAACTACTTGGAAGATGTTGAAGCAGCTCATGAGGAATGCCTTGCTGATAAGCACGAAGAATTAGACATCAAAACTGTGGACAAAGAAAGCGTTGAAGTAATGACAGACTTGACTTCATCTGATTTGAACTACTTGGAAGATGTTGAAGCTGCTCATGAAGAATGCCTTGCTGATAAGCACGAAGAATTAGATGTCAGAATTGTGGACAAAGAAAGCGTGGAAGTAATGACAGACTTAACTGCATCTGATTTGAACTACTTGGAAGATATTAAAGCAGCTCAGGAGGAATACCTTGCTGATAAACACGAAGAATTAGACATCAGAATTGTGGACAAAGAAAGCGTTGAAGTAATGACAGACTTGACTTCATCTGATTTGAACTACTTGGAAGATGTTGAAGCAGCTCATGAGGAATGCCTTGCTGATAAACAGGAAGATTTAGATGTCAGAACTGTGGACAAGGAAAGCGTGGAAGTAATGACAGACTTAACTGCATCCGATTTGAACTACTTGGAAGATGTTAAAGCAGCTCAGGAGGAATCCCTTGCTGATAAACACGAAGAATTAGACATCAGAACTGTGGACAAAGAAAGCGTTGAAGTAATGACAGACTTGACTTCATCTGATTTGAACTACTTGGAAGATGTTGAAGCAGCTCATGAGGAATGCCTTGCTGATAACCAGGAAGATTTAGATATCAGAATTGTGGACAAGGAAAGCGTGGAAGTAATGACAGACTTAACTGCGTCCGATTTGAACTACTTGGAAGATGTTAAAGCAGCTCATGAGGAATCCCTTGCTGATAAGCACGAAGAATTAGATTTCAGAATTGTGGACAAAGAAAGCGTTGAAGTAATGACAGACTTAACTGCATGTGATTTGAACAACTTGGAAGATGTTAAAGCAGCTCATGAGGAATACCTTGCTAATAAACACGAAGAATTACACGTCAGAATTGTAGACAAAGAAAGCGTTGAAGTAATGACAGACTTAACTGCATCCGATTTGAACTACTTGGAAGATGTTAAAGCAGCTCAGGAGGAATACCTTGCTGATAAACACGACGGGCTTGAAGCGGCCACAGTGAAGAAAGAAAACGCAAATATTATGACAGACTTATCGGTTTTGGATCTACAACGTCTGGAGGATGTTGACTCTGCACACATGCAATGCTTGTTTTACATAGACAGAAAAGAACATAGGAGTGACCCTCCGCATACGAAGTTTCAAGTTCGCGGAAAACTGGAATCAGCTCCCACTGAAAACGAGGAAAGTAAAGCACCGAAGTGGAGACGGCGTTCAAGGTCTACCTCAGTGTCTGTTCATATGCAGAATAAGCACACCATGACCGAGTTGACAGCCAACATTCTCGAGTATTTTGAAGATATAGAAGTTCTTTACAAGAAAACGTTGGTGGAATACGACGACTTTAGAAAGTTACATTCTGTGGAGAAGGTTGAGAAGGACTCTATGACAGTTATCACAACTGAAGATTTAAAATATTTGAAAGACGAAAGTAGTATACGTCAAGAAACGGAAGAGAAGGAGGTCATGACTGAACTAGCGATTGACGATTTGGATTATTTAATGGGTGTAGAAAGTTCTTATAATAATCACGAGCTTGATAGAAGATCTGAGGACATGAATAGCGAGAGGACTGCAGAGATCATGACAAGTGTGACATTGGCCTCCATAGAGTGTATGGAGGACGAGTATGAGAGACTACAGCGGGAGCAACCACAGGAAAAAGACCCCTCTTGGGTTAGAATTGAACAAGAGGACAGCTCATCTGAACTACAGTACCTGGAAGAAGTAGAACTTTCTTGCAAAGAGGATTCTTTTGGGGCTGCAGAACTCGCTAGTTCAGAAGATGCAGGGGTAATGACGGACCTCACAACTGCCGATTTGGAATACTTAGAGGAAGCGGAAAATCTTTTGAAAAGTATTAATGACAATGGTAGTGAACTATCAGGAATGCTTGCACCCAAGGAGGACAAAGAAGTCATGACAAAATTGACAAATTCTGATATTGACCACCTTCACACGTTGGGAGAGTTCCATATTGATGGTACAATGGCACTTTCAAGTGATGGTGAAGTCGAGAAAGATGATAAGGGTACAGAAACGGAACTCACAGTAGCAGATATCCGAGATCTCGAAGATCAAGCGGGCAGCGGGTCTGAAAAGAGAGCTACGCCTTCGTTTCATGAATTTGTTCATGACAATTTCCAAGCTGAAACACTCGTGAATTTGCAATCAGAGTTAGATTATCTACCTGTTTTGGACGAGCCTGAATTTATCATGGACGAGGACGAAGACGTAGATATCGAGGAGAATCAGTGTCGAGATGCTTGTGTCATGACCGAGCTAACATTTTCTGATTTGCAACAGTTTGGGATATATGACACCTGTGATGGTGTTGGTTTAATTCACTTACGTCGAGAACAGACTGATGTTGGTGTACAATGTACCCTGGAGGATTTAAGTTCGCTTTTGGAGGAGCTTAACAAGGAAGCAGAAGAGAAAGGGGCGGATGTTCCTTCGTGGTTTGTGACAGCCTTAAAGATGAGACAACCAGGAGGTTTGTGTTCTGTTTGTGTACCCATTCAAGTTCATGCATGCAGCTGATTCTACTGACTTTTCATGGAAGGAGCATGGCCCGGTAGCAGGGCAATACTGATCTGCCACCATCAAAGATCAGCATGTTTAAAGTGATCCAACTTATTACGTAAATACCTTTCTAACAAAAATGACATCATTTTCCCACGCATGAATTTACCTTGGTTTTAACGTGCATGTAAATAACTTCCCGGTATGGATGAACGTCGCACAAAATACAGTTAACATTCAAGGATACGTCATGGTATTGTTGGACGTCAAGTACTGTAAAGTAGACGTGAAATTGCAAAGTAAACGCCAGGCATTGTTTGATAAAGGATAATTCTGAAATAAGCGTTTGATGTTAACGGTCTGAAAAGTGAATATGAACTTAGTGTGTTAAGCTTAGAGGGGTGTAATTGCCGTAATGGCCACTGATTTTACTTTCAAGTTTAAGAGTTTATTTATAAACGTTGCAGCGATTACGTATTAAAAGCCAGCGGTTACTGATAGTGCTTATGATACTAAGTTCCTTCTAAAACCTTTATTTTTGGATATATAACAAGAACTCATGAACATACTCAGTAATAGATAACTGTACACACGCTGATCGCTGCTACAGAAATCGAGGTAGTCCAAATATAGAGCTAATCCATTGAATAAATATAGACATATCTTTACTTAACTAAATAAATAGTTACAGGTGCTGTTCATTTATAAAAATACCGTGACTCGCATTAAGCTTTTCTTAGTTAGAGGAAATCATTCATTTAAGCGATATTTCTGTCCTTGCTGCCTGCATGTGCTTTAAGTAACTTAATCAAAGCACTAAATGCACTTTCAGCGTTCTACTGTCTTAACTTTATTGCACAAGGTAGCTTTTGAATTTTAGGGGTATAAATTTCAAATATCGAAAGCCATAAACACGTTTGTTTAAACCTGTAATGAAAATATGAATACATAACGTATTCTGTCTGGAATGGAATTGTCAAGCTTTTGACAAGAATATTTTAATCTTGCAAAGCAATCAATTTGTCTCGCTTATTCGCTTTCGAACATTATTTTCCGACAGGTTTCAATCCCATACATCTTGTAGTGGGACAAACTGATGAGATAGATGCACCTCCAGCAGTCGAACTTCCGAACTCAGGAGTGACCTCCGAGCATGTCCCAGAGAGGGCACAAATGTCTAACATCCCCATCGACATGGCACACGTCTCTGACGGTTCACATGAATGCTTCTCGTCCAACAGTGAAACAAATATACTGCATTCAGGTGCTTCTTTCAAAAACATTGGTGTTCAATGTGATCCTGTGGATGTCGACGCCATGTTGTCAGAGTTTAGAGGAATTCATCCACGTGATGTGGACATGCCATTGTTCGTGTCTGCTATTAACATGGCCCGGCAAGATACAGGTAACCTCTCCATTTCCGAAAAAAAAAACGTAAGAAATGCAAATACATCGAATACCGTTCAAGTTATTTCTCAAAGTTACGCAATACTTTGGACCAAAAAATGATATGGAATGAAAGGCAAAGGAGGAATTATGAAGAAGAAATAAAAAACCATCTTTGCACACAATAATATCAGATTGACGTGACAAAATCAAGCGCGTTAGAGCCAGAAGTCTCAGACATTTTGACTTACTATTTAACCCTTTAACACCTAGATCAAATTTGTAATTCTCCTTTCTGTCAACCATACAATTCTTATCGTGTCAGTTCAGAGAATTTAGTATTGAATCAACTAATTATCCCCAAATTGATATTTTTTCTTAATTTTCATCACTTATCTGGTTGATATTGTATTGATATTGTAAGGAGAAATTCTGTCTTGGTCACTCATGGGAGTTAAGGGGTTAAGAATCTTTGATAACTTGACTTGTATTGAAAGTCAGGCCGATCTTATCAAAGGACATAATATGAGTCCCGTTCTAACGACACCTTCTATTTCATATACCAGTTCTCAGTTTCACTTTTTTGCAAATGAGATGTCTTGTCTAAATTGCCTTTTCGCTGTAAACCAATTTGTTATACGGAGTTCTCCAATTTTTCTTAGGCTTTAATCTAGTGGAAGTAGTTGTGAAGAATCGCAGTGATTCCAATCCTGTACAAGATGAAGTGGCTACCGAACCTAATAACAGTTTCACGGTAGAATTCTCCCGACTGCCACCTCCTCCTGAAAAGGCCACTTTCACCATCAGCTCACCGCCACCAGTCCAGTTTGCAGAAGACGAGCAGTCAGAATTTCCCGAAGGTATACAGTATGTAAATCGCAGACCTTTCCTCTTTAATAACTTTGCGTTAAACTCACAGTGCGTCTAGTGTTATAGCTACAGAGTGCTACGTCTTGATGGGTGAAAAAGCCTTCTTGCTTACAGTCTCCTTCGCAGCTGTTGTTTGATCTCCTCACGCAACGCGCTGTCTCCCCCACCGAACAACGGCTACAAAGGAGACTATTTTATTATTCTATTATTTGCAGAAGGCTCTCCTCTGTCGGGATTTTACTTGGTATATGTCGTCAGTTAAGATGAGGTTTCAACAGGCTGTGTTTTGTGTATTTTACCTCATCAGTGTTTAGATAGAAATTCCCCAAAAACACCTGTACTCTCAAACGTGTGCAACTACAGGTTTGGCCTCGTTACCTTTTTGTCTCACCAATTTGGGTACAAACGTTGGCAAACGGATACGATATGAAAGCATCATGCAGCAACAATGTTGTTTGTACCTGGTGGTGAAACATGAATGTCATCCTTGAAATCCCAATGCGTATGGCTATTCAACTTTTTCGTTTGTTTGTTTGCTTTCCTTTTTTGTTGATTTTCGTGCTTGTAAACCAGGCCTATGTGTTTTCCGGTTCTCTTCTACACTGCCTGAGCCGAGCGTATGCAATTTTCATAAAAACTGGCAAGACCTGCAAAATGTGCACTGTTTTCGTGATCATGGGTGGAATCACGTCGTAATTATAGGTCAGGCTCAGCTCTTCTCGTTTGACCGTCTCTATCCTGCATGAGAGCAAACGTATAGAAATTGCTTATGTTTGAAGGCTTGGATATTTTAATAGCCTTAGTCCTACGGATAATTTTTTTTCTTGGGTGTGATTGTTGCAATATTTTTCCACAGCGGATAACCCTTTGTTATCATCTCAAAATGGAAGTGACAGCGTTTTCAACCAAACAGACGAAGCAATTAATTCCACCCAGGATGGCGAAGGCAGAGACGTGTTGACGGACATGCCTCCTGACAGTAGTGCTGTGAACCGGTTTGACAAGTTTTTGAAGGAAAGAAAGGATTCAGAGTTACTGAATCTGATGGCCATAAGGCAGGGAATAGATGACAGTGATATAGAGGATACAGGAGACATCAAGGTTGGCTTTTTGATTATTGTTCTCACTGGTATCACATAGTATACAAATATTACTTGATAATCCTTGTTTTCACGGTCGTATTTGTTTGTGAATCAACAGTATCTTTCTTTCAGCGTAGGTTTAGCGATGATTTGTTTTCAGCTGTACGAACAACTGTGACGCTCCTATGATGGAAAAACTTCGATTATGCTCTTACACGAGTCCAATTTTATTCTTGGTACGAACTTAACATGGAAATACTCGCACCGCAATTTCAAAAGTACGTCAGAAGTTTCTTACAAAATTTAACCATGTACCATTTCCCAAATATGCTCCCGTAAATTTACGCCGAAAAACCTGGATTGTTAGGGAAAATGGCGTTAAAGACCATAAAGTTATATTTTGAAGTTGAGAATCAAAGCACAAAATCTCATTCTACATACTAATTAGCTAGAATCTCTCGATTTTGCTTTCTGGACGCGACTTGTGTGTAATACTCTGGTAATTAATGGTGGACAGTTTAAACAAGGAATAATTGTTAAATATGTCAGATTTGTTTTCGAAAATGGGGTTCAATTATTGGCAAGTTGCTTTTTCACCAAAAATATTGGATTTGCTTGAGGACAAGAGGAACACTTTTATTTTTAATGAAATACTTTGGAGTAAATTTCTTCAACAGAGAACCCTTATAACCATTATAGCTGAATCATCACAAGTAAGCTCTCGGTCCCGATGGTTGGGTCAATCCTGATCTATGGAGTGTTGATTTGAAACAGTGGGAAATCCTTTATGACATGTTGGAATCCACTGCTTTTTTCTTGTTGCAATAGTTTGACATTTGTGGATGTGTTTAAATTTGCAGAGCTTAAAAGAACTAGAAGAAGAAAACGAACTTCTCAGAAAACATCTGTTAATTTTGGAAAGCGGAAAGGTGAGTCAGTCAATCAAATAGTTATTCATTCGTTTATTTTTTCTGTTCATTCATTCAATTTTTTTGTACATTATCCATTCATTTATTCTTTCAGTCAGTCAGTGTTTCCGTTCTGTTAGTCGGTTCGTCAGTAAGTCAGTCAGCCCTGACAATTAATCTGTCACTTGTTTGGTCCGTTTGTCATTCTGCAGTTTGATAGGTATTCAGAAAGTCAGTTAATTTGGTAGTCAGTCGGTTTATTGATCAATGTATAACCACTGTAACGAAATGTTTTCATACATGGACCTGAGATGCCTATTTAGGGAGGTAAATGAAGGCATCATTTAAAAACATTGCTCCAACAGGGTACTGAAGACCTCGAGGAAGAAAACAGGAATCTCTGGGAGAAACTGAAAGAGGTACAGGAATCAACTTTAGGTCACACTTTTACGCGTTCAGTTACTCTGCCAGTCATTAAATGGTCTATAGAATGTCTTGATTATTTCTCTACTGAAAATATTAGGTTTGCAACTCAACGACATACATGAATAACACGAGTATGAGAAAAACACATGCCTCTAAACCAACTACAGCACGGTTAATTAACGCCTTTAGACTAAGGCACTGTAAACTTTGAGCGTGGTATAGTTGGTTAAAAAGGAAACCAACTTTGTTGTTAGTTAATCTTATCTTTAACAGTTTACATTGCTTATCGTATCAAGGTCTGACAGATCTTGGGACTGTTCTTTGTTGTTTGGTTTGACTCTTATGGTAAAAATTTATTATGTTGCAGAAGACAGAGGAACTTGAAAAAAAGAGCGCCCTTTTGAAGGAGAAAGTCCAGGTAAATACACAGAAAGTAACGTTGAGGTTATTTCTTAAATCAACCAGTAGCTGTGCTCCGTCTTTCTTGAGAAAACCTTAATGTGACGACAACTTGCGCCTCCAGTTGGTAAAATACTTGGAGAAATAGACCTCGTCAGTCAAAAAAGCATTTTTAAACAATTTTTTTTAATTTCCAAGGCATTTCTTATTTTTCTCATCGTCTTCAATTGTCTTTATCTCAACAGTAGTGACATGATAATTATAATAAGAATGACAGTAATGATGATAAACATGTTGACGATAATGGCGGTGATGATTACGATGAAAGTAGTATTTTGATAAAGACAAAGATCTTAATGATAATATTAATTGTTGATTAAAGCGATAACAATCATCTGTATGTACTAAATCAGTGGATAGCCTCGTAAGCGAGCTCTGGTTGGCTTCTCAAATGTCGACTATTCTTTTCTTTTCACCCCTGAGCAACTCGCGCGGGATTTGCGCCCGAAAATTGCGCCCGAATATATTGTAATAGTTGTAGGAATAAATGAGTTAAGATCATCTTTTGTCAAATAATATCTCACTGGTTAATTATATACTAAAACAACTATTGACCTCAGTGTCGTTGGCTAGTACCTCTACTTCGGCGGTGACTATCATCGACATCACGATCTTAATAATAAGAACGGCATTGATAGATATTTATAATTTATTACCTGCTTTTGTTTATTTTGTCGTAGTCCTTGGAAGATAGAGAAGAGGAAAATGCATTGATCAAAGAGAAAATGAAAATTCTTGAGGAATTAGCAGTGAGTATGCTTGGGGCAAGATGTCATGGTTACGTTCACATATGAAGCTAATTGATGCTGTCTCTTTCACCGTTAGGATGTGAAGGATTTAGAGAAGGAGAACGACAAACTCAGGGAACAAGTCAAAGCTCTTGAAGAAGCTTCCATGGTAACATTTTATTTCAAACTCTCATTATGAATATTTCTTGTTCACTTGGAGTCGATAACGTTAAGTGGTCCCTAGTTAATTTTAGAATTGCTTAGATTTCAGATGCAGAGATAAAGAACACCAAAGAAGAAAATGAAGAGCTAAGGGAAAAGATAAAAACTCTTGAACAAACTATGGTAAGAAAAGAGCTTCAATTTTGGTCTTGTGTTAACGCGTATGTCGCCAGGACACAATCCATTATTTAGGATTCCTGGAAAAGAGGCTTCCACTTAATTTTTCAAACTTTTCATTTTTGAAGATCCACATGTAGACTATTATACACATAACATCGAGACATTAGACGTAAGACACCAGACAATGAGAGAATTGCTGTCGACCAATCTGTTGTTAGGGTCAGTTGTCTGAATCTTCGGCAAAAATAAGATGTAGTTATCCTGACCGTCAGTGGAATGTAGAAGTAAATATTTTAATCATAGAAATTTGCCCTTTGATATTTTTCCAGGATACTGAAGAGCTTCAAAGGGAGAATGATTACCTAAAGCAACAAGTAGAAATGCTATCAGCTGAACCCGAGGTGAAAGAGCGATCTTTCTATGCTTTCTTGGCTTGTAGATATAGTCGAGTGAGGAAATCGAGGCGACCTGGGGTGGAAAAAATAACTAGAGTTCTTCAATACTGAGTTTGTGAATGTAATGCAGCAGCCTGTCTGTTTCCACTTACTTACCTTTAATTTGTTTCAGAGAGTAAAAGAACTTGAGGGGGAGAACGAAACTCTCAACGAAAAAATCGAGGCTCTCAAGGCATCCGCAGTAAGTGATTTCTGATATTGCAGATTATCAAGGACTGGTTTCCCAACAGTTCGCGACCTATACGTCCGACGTGTCATGGCGACTTGACAGTCGCCTTGTGTGTCCATAGGAGTGGCAGTGAAGAAGTTGAATGTCCGTGTGACTCGCTTGCACTCTTTGAATTGACCATCTTTCATGTTTTTAGGATGATGTGGTCTGTGAAAACACATTGTTAAAAGAGCAGATCGAGGACCTGGAACAAAATGATGTATGCAATTTTTTATTTTTAGTGTAATTGTTCATGTTATGGATAAGCAAGGTAGGAACCCTTTTTCAGTGGGGCAAAAAAATTGTTTTAATAACGAGTCATTCTATGAACTGGTTGGTTTGTCTGGGTACATAACGATTCGTAGATTTCTGCAAATGCAGTTAGTGCACGATACTCTTAGATTGATTACTAATTATTTACACTACATACTAAAACATTATGAAGTTGAGAAGTAAAAAGAGCCGTTTTCTTTTTCGACAAAAGTCTTATTGTTATCAACCTTTTCTGTTTCAGAAACTACACAAGCTGAAAGATGAAAACAAAATGCTCAAGGATAAATTACAGTTCTTGGAAGATGCTTCAGTCAGTATCATAGTTTGATGTCGGCTACAGTTCACACACTGAAAGAAAAAAAACAGTTTGAATAACAACAGAAAAATTAAAGTCCAAGTAATAAAGACTAACACAGTTTTCTTTGCTGCTTAATCTCTTCATCGCTGCAGCTGTGGCTCACGAACAGAAAAATAATTTCTACCTCCTGTCGCTTTTTGACTTTCGACTTTTGTTAATTTCAGAATATTGCATATGTTCGAAGTAAAGATGCTGCTTTGAAAGGGCAGTTCGAAGTAACGGAGGAAATTAGAAAGAGAGAGAAAAAGAAGAAAATTATTAAAATGAGGAGCTCTCAGAAAAAGTACAGATGTTGGAAGAGTCTCTGGTCATTGTAAATTAGTTTCCAGCTTCGTAGAATTCCTTGAAGCGAATCGTCCCTGCGTCTCTCGAGCATAAATACAATAAATGCATTCTTATTTATTCTCAGACTTCAGAACGACTGGAAAACGAGCAACTCATGGACAAGATACAGGATCTGGAACATTCTACGGGGAGGGTAAGTACAGGTGGGGAACGCTTCACTAGTGAGGTGGGGTTATTAGAGAAGAAAACTGGTGCTTTCAGGAGAGTTTTGAAGGGATGGTGACTAGAATATGACACACAAAATTCTATTGTTATCCCGACTGTGGCCAGGAGCCAACTGATAATTAAATTTATAAAGATCTTCTTTTTGTGGTTTATGTCGACGTTGTTGCGATATCGCTAATTGAGAATGGAAAATTGTCACGGAGAGTTCGTATCCGCTGTGACAGGATTTAAGTAATTAAGTAAAGTGTCGTCAAGTTACAAAAGTGTCAAGTGTGCTACATTGACTGTGATATTGCTTTGATCTTTCAGGTTGTTGAAAGACTCGAAGAGGAAAATTCAGTGTTAAAAGAAAATATCAAAATTCTGGAAGACACGACTTCTGTGAGTCACGGGAACTTTCTTATAGTTTTCTTTTGAGTATATCCTCAGATTTCTGAGTTCGTAACCAGATCGTCAAATATGACTGCTTTACTGACTTAACTAATTCACCCCAACAGAATAATTCTTTTCAACCTTGATGTTGGTTTTGCGCACATTTCTTAGTTCATAGTAAGTTTTTCTCTCAAATATCGATGATTTCCTTTCCAAGAACATGAAAACACTTGAAGACGAAAACATTTTGCTGAGAGAAAGGATTGAAAGCCTGTACAGTACAAAGGTGTGTTAGTTTGAGTTGCAACCGATCTTAATGTCGGTCTGTTATCTCTATATATGTGGTTGCAGATCTTTTCTACCTCATGTCCCCCATCAACCCTTTTCAAAAGAGGAGACAATCCATTGAAGAGTTAAGCGAGAACTGAGTTCTTCTGAATATTTGTGTTGGTTACCGAATGTTTTTTATCAGATTCAAATGTGAAGTTACCTCTCTTCCAATTTTACTCGGAACAGGGGCCTGGAATGTAATTTTCATTTAGACCAAATTTTAATGGGACAGTATTCTGATGGGAGATATAATTTGATTTTTAAAAAAAAACTTGTCAAGATACTTTTAATGGAAATTGACTTAAGACGAATGTCAGGGGTACAATTTCAAAATATCTCGTACGAAATAACTTCTAGTAGTGAAGTGAAGTGAAGTTTGGGTAAAATAATGGAGAGGTTATTGCAAACCCTATCACTTTCAGCCGTTTACATTGGCCTTGCATTTTTCTTGTAAAACTCGGTCATCTGCAAAGAGGAATTCTGATATAAAATATAGCTGGTAGAAGCTTAAGAAAACTATACCCAGCCACCTTAAGAATAAGAAGAGGGGTTGGGGGGACAAAATCAATGAACAACACTTAGTTTTTGACATTTTCCTTTATCGTAAACGTCACAGATGAACTCTATCGTGGTTCTTTTTAATGTATTATCCTTCAAATAACGAATTTTAAAACACGCGGTTTTGTTTTCATTTTGTAGGCTAAGGGCTTGTCTGAGGAGGAATTCGAGACTCTTCAGAAAAAGATAGAACAGCTGAAGGAAGCAGATAAGGTAAAATCACGCGATACTTTGATAATGAATTGTTTTCAATTAAAATTCGTGGTGCTTTCAGTTGAAGCTCTTCAATCACATAGCTTTGATATTTAGCGGTTAACATTTTGGTGAATGTTCATTTCTTCTTTTTACTGTAAGCCTGCCTATGTCATGTTAAGCTGCAAAGTATGTCGAAACCTTTAATTTTTTTCGCGAACATTTCGGCTTACGGTAGATATATGCTCTCTTGCATGGAAACAGCAGAATACCATTAGTCATTATGAGCCCGGCGCATCCACCTCACCTTTCTAGTGATTAAATCATGTTAAAGTTAACCCTTTAACTCCCAGGAATGACCAAGACAGAATTTCTCCTTACAATATCTGTACATTATCAAGCAGACAAGAGATGAGAAAAAACAAAAATGTAAACTAGGGGATTACTAGTTAATCCAATACCAAATTCTTCGAACTACCATTATAAGAATTGGAATGGCAGACTGTAAGGACAATTGCTGATGCGATGTCGGAAGTTAAAGGGTTAACATGTTCTTTGTAGATTGGATAAAATCTCTTTCAGCAAAGAAAGTGTGCAAACTCGTAGAGCCTCAGCAGTTGAAACAATGAAAGTAGAATGCAAGTTCTAACGAGACACAAGATCCAGACTAATTAAATCTGAGGCAGTGTTTAGTCTAACTCACCTTCATTTTTCTTCTCGTAAAGCACAATTTGTTTGCATTTAATGATATCTAACAGTGACTGAATGTCGATTTTTAATTTTGTCATTTTACTTAGACAATTGCAGCACTGAACGAATCCAATACAGCATTGAAAGCAAGAATAGATATTTTGCAGTCGGAGAAGGTAGGGTCTGCAATCTGATTGTATTTCAATTAAGACTAAATGAAGCACAAATAACAATATTACACACTTTTCCTGGTGTTACAGGGCCGAATCACAGAAACATTTAACCTTTGCAGTATTTGTAGAGTTTTAGAAAGAGATAGAGCTGGGATACTTTTGATGTGGAACAGAATCTGCATTTTTAAGACATCGCACATAGAAACCACCCTCACGTTCTTTTCACCAGCCAAAGAACAGATGTGTAATATGCTGGGGTAGAAACACTTTTAATCTTTCCATTCTGCAAAGCCTGTTCTTTTTTCTACTTTCTCTATTTTGTTTTGTAGAAAAACGACCGAGACGTTTCTTCAGATATGGATCCCTCTGAACAACTTGGAAAGGTGTGGTCCAGAGTAAATTTCTTTCAAACCAAGTTCTGAAGGGATGAATGCAAACTTGTGGCAGTCAAGTATTTTGCCCTTTCATTTGATTCCTTTTTGAGGACCTGTCCGCCATATTGAAGTTTCCATCCAACAACGATGCTTTCTAAACATTTTTGTAACTTACAAGTGTTGAGTGTAAGCTTAGCACTTTTATTAGAAATTTTGTGCCAAAGATAAAGACATTATGTGCTAAAGATAAAAAAAATAAACAACCGAAAGGTAACAAGAAGTAACCTCAGTACTTGAACTTAAATCGATGAAAATCAACTGTTTGTAAAACCAAGAAAAATAATTTTGTCTAGGTTCGACTGCTATTAGTGCAGGATTTTGGTTTGACTTCATCAGAGGTGGAAAGTGTTCTTGGGTCATGTGACCTTGAAAGTCACGTGTCGTCGGGAATGGCTACCCCGCGTGATGAATTGAACAATCTGGGTCATTATTTTGAACAGGTAATGTGTTAGTAATGTTTGGCTGCTAGGTGCCATTGATAAAAAGAACATCAAAGTAAACTTTAATACATATAGGGGTTAACAAAAACTTTAAAAATTTATCTGAAGAATTCAGCTAGTGATCGCTGTCACTACAGAACTAGCAGTAAAGACAATATTTAAACTAAAGATACTAAAGAATAACTCAGACATCATTTTCTTGTAAAATTTCTAAATTTCAGTCATGCTCGCATTACTCTTATCTCACCAGTGTTGCTGCGCCCTCATTACACGCTCATGGTTATGGAAACGTCTGTTCTTTGATACTTATACTGAACACTAACGCTCCGCTGTGGCCATACCTATGTCATCCTGTGAACCATCGTTTAGTCTTCACCCTCTTCTCAGCATTAAGTAATTTCGTTATTATGCAATGTGTAGGCCTGGCGAGACGATCATATAATGGCGATCAAAGAATTAAGAAATTATTCGGGAAGTGACCAAAATAAGACAACCGTAAAGTAATGCCGCTATACCTTGCTTTAAAAGGCTGACGGACCAGAGCAATCAGATGTTGGTGACACACCGTGCTCAGTGATCAAACCCGTACAGCATATAACACGCATTCCAGGGGGAATTAATGAAGTCAACTCACCCATACCAGAGAACATAGCAAAAGTAAATCATAATTTGTTAACTGTCGATAGATAAAGATTCCTGTTCTGCTTAAAGAGATAAGTTATCCTAAACGTCATAAAATGTTGCATAATGTACGAAACTACAGTAATAAAGCCATATTACTCACCTGCAGTACAAAGACGATCCTTTAACATGAACTTTTGTATCCTGGAATAAGGTTAATCTTGCTCGAGAACTTGAACATAATTTGCCCTTAAACAAGGCATGTGTCATTTGATTTAAAATGTAACGAATTTCAATAACGTCTTTGCAATGCGTCTGCGTTAGTCGGTGCTGTCCTGTGATTGTTCACTATTACGGGGCTTTTAACCTGACTTTGATGAAGTCAGGTTACTGAAGTATTAACATGATCAGGTCACTGAAGTATTGACAGGACCAGCTTCATCTGGTCTTTGATGGCCTGCTTTCTTTAGATATTGACCACATGCAGCAAAACTGTGGGCATTTAATGCACCTAAAGAGTAACAATTTTGTAATCGTCTTCGTTCATGACACTTTTCAGGAGCTTGAAAATTTGAAACAAGAAAACAGAAGACTTTGCGAAGAACTTAAAGAACTAAGGAGAACAGTTCAGGTAGGAGTTTTGAATGTTCTAATATTCCCCCATCCCCCCCCCCTCCCAATGTAATACAGGTAATTATGAAATGCCAACATTTCCCCTGCCGTTGCTTTTACGCACCCTCGCATCAACCATTGGCTGTAATGTGAGTGTTTGGGCCTGTAGACCGAAGATCTGCTCTACCTGTAGCGTCTAAAAAAAACGTTTGCGCTCCAGTTTCTCAGTTTCTCTGCGCGCGTTAAGCACTCCTATCGATGTGCTCAGTTCACTAGTCAGGATAATAATTCCCTATGATAACTGCTATCAATATTTTTATGAGCTACTAGTTTTTTTGTTATTACATTGTTGTAAATACTTCGAGAGAAAAAAAAGGCTTTTTGTGACGACGGTTCTTCCGTGAGCTTTTGTGAAATTCTCTGAGTTAGTGGAAACTAGCGAAAAAGTAGGCGTGCGTGAAATGGTGTTGCTCACCCGATCACAAGCCTTAGCGAAAGACTGGAACTGACCTGGAACGCTCTCGTCTTGCTGCTTTGGTTGCACCTGAAGTGTGTTTTATAAGCTGTCTCTGATTTAATAGTTAAAGATCGATCCCACAAACAGAGCATTTCAAGACCGCTGATAAATAGGCTTATTCACGTGCGGCAATGAAATGTCTCATAAATTTTCGTCTACATTCGTCGTCAAAGTCTAATAATAACTATCCCACGTAACGGACGGTTTTCTTGCACTTGGTGAATATGAGGGTAGCGGATCCCATTCTTCCAGCGGCTTCATCGCTTATTTTAGCCGCTCCGATTCCCAAAAATCTGACAAAACAGTCAGCCACTCAGGATAGGTAATAACATCCATGTTTGTACATTTTCAGAAGTATTCCTTTCAATTCCCAAACTGTTTTTGTTCGATGATTACACCCGCAGTGGTATTATTCATTGTCCAGAACGACCTCCCATCAGTTGTGTACACATGTATTTCCTTCCGCTATAGCTGTTTTAAAACTTGGACAATAGTCTTCGTTATGATTAAAATTGTCTTTGTTTACTGATATTCATAACAGCGAATAAATTTGCCCTGCATAATTTAGTTCTGGATGATTATGCTAATGTTCGAGCCACAAACTAGCGTTGCAAGCGACCGAACATTTCATAAAATTTCACAGCGGAAACAACATAGTAGGTTTGGTATTCTTCCTTATTTAGTTTCTTTTCTTTTGTTCAGTTCTTGTTATTTTTTTACGACCCACTGATATTTCTTTAACTTCGTGATTTCATATAATTCAAAAGTCAAGGGATTGATCTGCAGCTAACAAAGGTCTTCAGCATGTTTACGTGCAACCTTAACATCAAAATGCAAAGTTTTCTCAGAAAGGTTTCCTACTTTGTAGTGGTATTCTGTTGGATGTTGCTTTCTTCCCTATCTTGTTCTGTTTATTCTGAAATCACATACTCATGAAGAATGAAGATGAGCGATCACCGTTCTTATATGACATAAACACAAGTATATTTGAACAGAACACCCAAGCCAAACAAACACTGAGTTCATTTTACATTCAACCTCATGTAGGCTGGTTATTGTTTAGAAGCAGTTATAAAAAGCAATACTCTGTAAAGCCGATCCTAGAACCATGAGAAAGGATATCTCTGTATGAGAACTTCGCAAACACTTGAATACTCTGTGAACAAAGCTCATACAAGTTAGAATGTCAAACGTATTAAATGAGCAATTTTACCAGACTGTACATGCAATGCAAGGAGTAGTATAGCTCCTTATTGTAATAATGATAATTCGAGAAGTTTCCTACATGTCGTTATCTAAAATGTTGGTGCCCGTTTTCTTTAAAAAAAAAAAAAAACCGGGTCGAACGGCTCATTCTTTTTCTATTATTACAATTTCTTGAACAAATCTGTTAAAATATGGAAATGCAAAAAGGTGACAGAAGACGTTCGCGCTCTATAATGTAACACTGGATATATTTACCTGGTACTGATCTTCATTATAAAGTCTTACAACACTGGCTTGGGTTAGATACCGTAAAGAGTTCTTATTACATTAACTATATAGAGTTCGGTTTGCCTTAAGACTGACCCAAACCAGCCCTTCTACCGACTGAAAACTTGAGGACACCGAGAAAAAGTCACGTCCAGTATGACGGAGTACTGGTATATCATTAAAAAACAACCAAAATTCGTGATTTGAGGGAAAGTATCAACTTGGGTTAGCTGTAGGGCCATTGCCGGATCATTTTTCACTTTTTGGTAATCTCCTGTTGGGACCCGAGTGATTTAAATTTCTTTTTTTTTCCATATTAATGGAGGCCTATAAGCTAATCTCTAGTTGCACTTGATTTTTTTTAATAACCATGCTTTTTATTGTGTTTTCGTTTTCTGGCTTTTTGTTGGTTTATTTGTTTGATTTATTGGTTTTTTTAGTTTGTTTTTCGTTCATAACCTACCACCGATCCATCACACTGGACATTTTAATTTTTTTTCACCTTAAAGCCCATGTCCACAGAATTTTGGGCATATGAATACTAACTGGGGTCAACCTAGAAGCAAACCTTGTGCTAGTGCAGACTCTCTACCCAGGTTGCTTTAAAGAAGTCATTTTTGTTCTGTTTCTGCTGATTAAACCGGAGCTGCGAATCAAACTGAGTACGTTGGTAAATGTTGTCCCCTTCCCTGCAAAAACTTATTTAAAGGCCACTATACGCAAGTTTTGCACTCTGTTAGGAGATAAAATATGCTCGGATATTTTCCTCGACCATTATCTGTTCCTCGAAGCCCTCAGTTTTCCTCGGGCTTGCTCTTGCCGGAATAACCAATCGCTCAACAGACCAAGTAATGTCCGGGGACAAACAACCTATGATATTTTTGTGCCACTGTTCATGTGAGATACCATAAAAATTGTTAAACAACAAAGGGATATTAGGGATTGTAATGAAGAAAGTGGGCACCTATGACTTAATAGCAGTATTTGATACAGTTCTCCCTTCTGTTCCCAGGACAGGCAAAACACTGAGAGATTAAACGAGGAAACACAGACCGATTGTGTGGAGTCCTCTCAGGACATAGCAGCCAGGAGTCTCATACACTCTCAATACGTGCTTAGTTCGATACCAGGCGATATTGAGGAGACCATTGCACCTCAGGTCCGCTCAACTGTTGCCACTGAAATACGCTACCTTGGCGACAGTCGTTTGGAGTTTGAGCCATCAACTCAAAGTCGTTACAAGAAAGGTGCAGTTTTCAGTGGGAAAGATGATCCAATGGACTATTCAGCGCTAATAAGAGACTTTGAAAATACAATGCCCAGTCATAACGAAAGTTCTGTCGACTCTGATGACCTCATTTCTGAACCAGAGCTTATGGTTTCCCAAAGGAATCTGGACACCCAAATGGATATTATCGACCAACGTATTCAAGATCTTCGTTATATAGAAGAGAAAGATTCAGTTCCTCTAGAGGAAGGTAGTAGAGACAGACCAGAATTAGGTGATCTTGTCACCTTTGGTTCAGACGATGAGGGAGATCTCCCTCCCCTCCCTGAATCCTCTCCACCACCCCTCCCGTCTGAACCACCACCAGATTTCACGGAGTCTCCGCCTCCCGTCCTTCATGGACTGGAAGTGTTGTTGAATAGTGACTCTTCTCCACCTAGAGATGCAGCTACTCTCCGGGCTTCATCTCGACAGCGCCTTCACTCAGAAAATAAACCCACCTCTGAGGTGTCGCAATCTTCTTCCCGAATGGAATCTCCTTTGCTTGTGGAGGAAACTACGTTGGTCCTTGAATCAGACCCTAGCGAGCTGGGTGGAATCTATCCGATCGAGGAGCCTACGTCGTTAACCGACTCATCTGGAAGGCGGCCCACAAGTTTAGGATCTATAAAACCTGATGACTCTAAAACCAAGGCTCCTCTTCGGGTACTTCCAGGACCAAGAAGACTCCTTTTGCCGAAGCATGAACTAGGACCATTAAACCAACCAGTGGTCTCATATGCAAATTCAAATGTGACTTCGTCGATGCAGCCCCAGAGGTTACGTAATGAGGAGGATGGAATCATTCCTCCTCGGGGATTTGTACTTAACCGGGCCGCTTTGATCAATAGTGGTGAAATAGACGCGCTTAACGAGAAGATTGGGTTCTTGGAGAGGCAGCTTAAAGTAAGGAAGCGCCCAATTTTTTTTTAAGAGTTAAATGGAAAAAAACTTTTTAATTACTACTGTACTCACTGTCAGTCAGTCAAATTCTTTTTGGCAATTTCCGTCTCAACAGACCAGCGTTAGCCTCAGCTATACCGCGGCAACTGATAATGGTTTTGTAATAGAAGTATTCAGCCTTTAAGCATTTTAGGTATGTCGAAGAGCTGGAGTTTATCAGAGCGCGAGACTGGCCACTCAAAATTCATTTCCTCCTAGGGAGTTTTTTTTACCTGAATCCTCCTTGAATGTGAAACAAGTAAAATTAGTTTAACTGGTATGCGATAAGCTTTATAGAGCTTGACCAAAGATAGCTAATTTAAGTCGACTAATTTTTTTCAATACATTTATTTTGAAATCTCTGTTTTTTTTTCCCATATGATTTCAGACAAAACTGAATTCCACTTAGTTTAATTACTATCGTACGGTATTTTTCTTGTTCCTTTATCATGGATTATTTTACATACGATTCCGTTCTGTTTACCACTTTCAGAACAAAGAAAATGTTATACGTTCCTTGAAGGTACGTTTCATGTTTTAGAACTCCGTCTTCAAACTGAATAAGACTAATACTTTTGCATATACGCTGAGCTTGGCACTTCAACCAGGCTTTCTTTACCACCGTATTCAGTATTGCATGGGATCTTTAGTGCATGTTAAGAAAATTGTTGTGTAAACTCCCTTTTTCTTGTGCATTCGGTCACCTAATGGAAACAATTGCTTTCTAAACAGACCGAAGCAACTGAACGGGAGACTCAGTCTCTGGTAAGTACCTTTGTTTAAGCCAGCACGATCTTTATTTTACCTCAAAATGTTTCAGCTTGTGCATGAAATGGATTTTTTCTTTAAATTATCATTCTTTTCTTCTTCCGTTTCACTTTTGCAGCTTGAACGAAAAGATCGTGAACTGAGAATCTTGGTATGTGGTAACCGTTTTTGTAATCATGTATTTTTATCAGTAAGTTGGATGAATAGAGGGTAATCACACCCTTGCTCTATCTTTGGTAAAGGACAAAAAGGCGAACTTTTCCATGTCAAAAGATGGTACAGATCAGGGACTTTTCACCGAAACTGGAGCTCTGTATCATCGTTCAGATCATGTGACACGCGTAATCCAGGATGGCAATTTAACCTGGGTTTTGATTTCTCTTGTTTAAAAGCATAAATTAGATTTAACTTTTGGGATGTTAATAATATTAAAACTGAAGGAAAAAATAAAAAGCTATGAAAATTGTTATAAAAGTAATTAAAAGAAGAATTTATGTTAAATATCACAAAAATAGAATTGAGATTTTTTAACTGACTTGCATATAAAGAGAACCTTTAACACCCCTGTTTGTTAAACTAATAGATACAAAAACTCTTTTACTATAAGCGATTTTTTTTTAGGAAGCTGGCGTGGTTGGCTAAGATGCTCTTCCTCACGATCTTATAATTATGTTTAATAAGCGTAGTGCAGAATAATATAATAGGTGATGACATGTTTCTATGTATGTATACTTGTGTTACTCTGAACATATCATGTAATTCAATCAACTTGACTGCCAGGCGTTTTCTTCAAGAAACGATTTATTTCTCTTGCACTCCTGTTTTAGGATGAAGATGTGGTATTTTTGAAAGAAGAGGTAAATAACAATGAAGTAGAATGCTTAATAAGATGGTTTAGCTCTGTCATCTTAAAATGGTGACCATTTGTCTGTCAATTTGACATTTGATCTTCCTTAAAAATTCGTTCGACAATAATATCTACTTTAAATGTTTCTCCGACAGAATCAAAAGAAAGAAAAAGAACTTCTTACGAAGGTGAGATCGAATGTTAATATTTTTACTTTTATTGCTCATCTTTGTTTTCCCGCTGTATCTTTCGAAGTTTTTTAACTTAGCATCCTCTGTTTGTTTTTAAAACGCTACTTAAAGAGTCGTGGTTTTGCTTGTATCTTTTTTAATTGCTTTTTTCTTTCCGTTAATTTTTTTAGATTGGAGAAATAAATAAAAAGAACTACGAGGTGAGGGACATTTATTTTTTTGTTTGAATAAAATTACTTTATTTATATGTGTTCTCCAAATTTCGTGCACTTTCGCTCTACTTCATGACTGATTATTTTATTATTGCGAGTAGGGAAAGTGTTAGAGGAATTTTTATTGAGTATTTCCATAGCAATTTCTATGTGTATCGTCATGCATGTTATAATTCACGATACCTACCTTGTAGATTGAACAATGGAAAGCGGAAGCCAGCAATTCAGAGAGACAGAGACAAAGAATGGAAGCAGCTTACATGAATTTACAGGTTCAGTTTCTTAACTGCCATAACACGCGTGATTTAGAAAACAGAAACACCAGCGACTTTTGCGCCTAATTTTGGATTGTTCTTTCCTTTTCAAAGAACCAGCTTAAAAGTACACATGGTGCGGAAAAAGAACTGGCCGAGTTGCAAACCAAATACAGTGGAATGGAAAAACAGAACTTTGAGCTAAGTGAAAAGGTAACAATCTTGTTCATGAAGATTAGATATATGAAAATTCACATATTTGCACTGCGGTGGAAAGATGAAATTAGAAGATCCTCGCAGCTAAGAACACTACTGAAACTAGTAGTTGTAAGTAGGACCTGAAAAAAATTTCAGGCCCGTACGGGATTTGAACCCATGACCTCTGCGATACCGGTGCAGCGCTCTACCAATTGAGCTAACAAGCCAACTGGGAGCTGGTCAATGAATTGGGTACAAATAAACATCCGAGTGAATGAAGATTAGATATATGAAAATTCACATATTTGCACTGCGGTGGAAAGATGAAATTAGAAGATCCTCGCAGCTAAGAACACTACTGAAACTAGTAGTTGTAAGTAGGACCTGAAAAAAATTTCAGGCCCGTACGGGATTTGAACCCATGACCTCTGCGATACCGGTGCAGCGCTCTACCAATTGAGCTAACAAGCCAACTGGGAGCTGGTCAATGAATTGGGTACAAATAAACATCCGAGTGAATGAAGATTAGATATATGAAAATTCACATATTTGCACTGCGGTGGAAAGATGAAATTAGAAGATCCTCGCAGCTAAGAACACTACTGAAACTAGTAGTTGTAAGTAGGACCTGAAAAAAATTTCAGGCCCGTACGGGATTTGAACCCATGACCTCTGCGATACCGGTGCAGCGCTCTACCAATTGAGCTAACAAGCCAACTGGGAGCTGGTCAATGAATTGGGTACAAATAAACATCCGAGTGAATGAAGATTAGATATATGAAAATTCACATATTTGCACTGCGGTGGAAAGATGAAATTAGAAGATCCTCGCAGCTAAGAACACTACTGAAACTAGTAGTTGTAAGTAGGACCTGAAAAAAATTTCAGGCCCGTACGGGATTTGAACCCATGACCTCTGCGATACCGGTGCAGCGCTCTACCAATTGAGCTAACAAGCCAACTGGGAGCTGGTCAATGAATTGGGTACAAATAAACATCCGAGTGAATGAAGATTAGATATATGAAAATTCACATATTTGCACTGCGGTGGAAAGATGAAATTAGAAGATCCTCGCAGCTAAGAACACTACTGAAACTAGTAGTTGTAAGTAGGACCTGAAAAAAATTTCAGGCCCGTACGGGATTTGAACCCATGACCTCTGCGATACCGGTGCAGCGCTCTACCAATTGAGCTAACAAGCCAACTGGGAGCTGGTCAATGAATTGGGTACAAATAAACATCCGAGTGAATGAAGATTAGATTATCTAATCTTCATTCACTCGGATGTTTATTTGTACCCAATTCATTGACCAGCTCCCAGTTGGCTTGTTAGCTCAATTGGTAGAGCGCTGCACCGGTATCGCAGAGGTCATGGGTTCAAATCCCGTACGGGCCTGAAATTTTTTTCAGGTCCTACTTACAACTACTAGTTTCAGTAGTGTTCTTAGCTGCGAGGATCTTCTAATTTCAATCTTGTTCATCTTGCGAATGTTCCAATAATCTAAATAGTCATGTTTCTTGTCACTTGACCTCACTTAGTTTCCGATTATGGATTAGTTTCATTTTTTCTTTTTGTTTTTTTGCGACATTCTTTGCAGGTGAAGAAGTTGGAAAAAAGTGAGAAAGAATTTAAGAAACTGGAACATAGCATTCAAATACTACAGGTATGTATAAAATTTCTTTAAAAGTGTCCATCGATCAACTGTTTTGTTTTTCTTGTAGCCTTTATGTCGTGGAGCCACTCCATGCGTAATTTGTTATCTGGTTTTCAGGCTCAGTTACAAGAAATGGACGTCCTGGAACAAGATCGAAACAGCTTGATCGAAAAAATGAAAGCGGTTGAGAATCAACGAGATGACCTGCTCAGAAAAGGAAGGATGGTAGAAACAGAGAGAAACGATTTCCTACGTAACAACAAGCTTATGGAGATGCAAAGAGATGAGTTGAAGAGCAGATGCTCCGTGTTACAAAAGACAAATAGCACCTTAAACATCAGGGTGAGCTATGAACTCTCCTCCTCTCACCACCTGTTTTTCGCTACAAAAAATAGTGTTAATTAATATCTCATTTGTTCTTGTGATCATGTGACTAACATTGTTAGATGTTTTTCCGCAATGAAGTCATTCACTCGGTGTCTTTTTTTGTGTTGGAAATGCAGAAAACGTAATAATGTTTAAGCTCGGAGTCATTTTAAGTAACAAACGTTATTATTTGATCGTGCCTTTCTTTGATTGTCGTACTGACAAGAGTCTCAAGCGAAACATTGTCTTTCAGTTTTAGCAGACCATTTCGGAATGTGGTCATCCCATGGAATTTTGAAGTTGGAATGAGAGCATTACCAATTTATCACTCTTCTTTTTTTTCTTTTCTTAGCTGGCACAACTGGAACATGACGTAAGAGAAGCCCAAACAAAAATGCACGATAGTCAACACGAAAGAAACTTCCTCAAAGTACAACTAGAAAAAATGGAGGCTGAAAGAAATGAAATGCAAACAAGACTTGCCCTCACGACACAAGAACGAAATTTACTAGAAAACCAAGTAGCAGAATTGCAAGACCTTAATAGGTATCGTGTAGTATTATCAGACAAGACTATTATCAGCTTTGCCGGTCAACGTTAGCGTAATTCCGGAAACCGAGTTTTATATTTTCAAGTCTTAACGATTGAGTGCAAGTCATCCCATTTTGAGGTTTTGGAACTGAGATTGACGTGCATGTATGTTACACAAGACAGAATATTGAAGAGTTCGCTCAGCGCAATGTGTTGCATCTTTTGCAGGGATCACGTTAAATTGGAAGACAGTTTTCATTCTCTTCGAATTAAGGTGAGTTTGCAACTTTCTTAAGGCGGCATGAGTCTACAGTCTTTACCACCAAGATAAAAATCAGGTCAACGAAAGAATTCAATGGAATCATACCCTTTCCAAGATGGATAAGTCTTTGATGATGTGGATTTTTTTATTCCTAGCTTGCGGAATCTACGCGTCAAAAAGATGATGCTGAGATGCAAATACCAACTCTAAAGGTAAAAGTTGAGATCACCTGTATGTGTATTTTCTATTTCTATCTCTTTGTTTGTCCGTCTATCTTTGTGCCTGCCTTCCAATCGATGATCTGCCAATGAAACGATTTTTGTTTTCTTTCCCACTTTTAGGCGAAGGTTTCCTTGCTTAGGAGAGCGTGTAAAGAAAAAGACGATCTTGTCGAGAAACTAAATGAAGAAATTCGCGATTTACGTCATTTCATATCAACATCTACTCTCGACGACCTCTCGAAAATCCGCAGCTTCGGTTACGCGCACGACAACTTCACGAAGTCGTCTACCCATCGGGAACAAAAGAAACAGATCGCTAAACAAGTTCCCAAGGTCTGTGAAAGTTACTAGTTACAATGTAATAGTTTTATTTGGCCAACACGCTTTCACAAGATAGTTTATTACTCTGAGTGATCATATTCATTTCTGGATTAAAGACCTCTCTCCCATTCAACTTCGGCGTTTGATTGATTGGCTGATTGATTGGTCTTTGAAATGGAAGTGAACTTTGAGGAAACCTGGAAGGGCCCGAAAAGCACGCTTTCAACTTTTTGATACAACATAATGACAATATTTACCAAAGTCTTCAAGTCTTCCAATGTCTATTAATGAAAAAACATTGAATAAAAGAAGGAAGACAATATTATGAAGTGGAGGGGCATCCCAATCCTTTTGACGAGGATTGTAGTAAAGGAAAGGCTGTAAATAAATTCTGGGAAACTATCTCCGCATTGTTTTCAAAAGGGCATAGAGCACCTCGCTTTCCCTGGTTGATTGATGAAAACTCGCTTCATGTTGAAAAGCTTATGATAAAACGTGATAGTGTAGACTGATCGTTCGGGTGAGTGTTGCACTGAGAAGGACTGTTGTCGGTAGTGACCGACAATTATCGACAACTACCGACAACACTACCTGTCTCTGAATCATTTTGAAGTGATTTAAAGCTTTTAGGAGTAATGGATTTAACTGCGTGGTTGTGAGGGTGGAATGTATTCTCCTTATGTGACGTTTGTAGTGCTGACAGTCGATCGTTTTGTTGGGTGCGTTGATGGCCCCCTTGAACGACAGAAACAAGAAAGCCGCGTTTTTCGAAAAAAAATGGCATGTAATGGATGCAAAGATGAATGCGAAAAGTAACTATGTAACTATGGTGGTTCGCCATTCTGAAAGCCTTATACTTGCTGCACTTTTTGTCGGTTTAGTCAACTTAGCTTTTCTTTAGAAGAATCAAATGATTGGCTATTTGTAACAGACATTTTTAATTCTCCTCAAGATGTTCGAACCTTCACCACCTGGAAGCAAAAAAGCTAGGCGCTTTATTGCGTTGTTTGATTACGACCCACATAGCTCACCTTCTTCTGAACACCCTGATTTGGAGCTCAAACTCAAAGAGGGAGATCTCCTGACAGTTTTCGGTGATATGGACATCAATGGGTATTTAGAGGCGGACTTGAACGGGGAACGAGGCCTGGTTCCTAGTTTATATGTGGAAGAATTCGAGGATGCAAATGATTCTGATATTGCGCCAGAGGAGCAGTTGAAAATTTCTCACAGGGCGGCGGGGCCTCTGAAACATGGTGCTTTGAACAGGAGCAAGGAAATTCAGGTGAGATAGAGATTGTAAAGAAGACGATAAAATATTTTGAGTTAATTAACCAGAATAAGCGATTGGTGAAGACAGTGGAGATTGGCGTAGATATCAATGACAATAAATTGTTTAAGATGCAAAAAACCTGATCTTTTTTTTGAAAGAACGTCTTAACTTCAAGTTCTATTTTTCCACTTATCTTTAACTTTTTGGAACAATTTTGTCAAACGAAAGGGCACAGGTAAAAGGTTGTTTTTGTTGTTATTCTTTTATTCGTGCGTGTGTGTTAAAATTCTATTCTTTATTTACGGGATCGAATCTTCTGAACCATTCGCTCGTGGCTTTACCGAACATAGGAAACTTACTGCACAGAAATTTATCTCGGCGCTGTTAATTGACTCATGCTCTTCCTTTTTATGGCACCAGACAATATATTTTGTGACGAGAAAAAACGTTTCACTAATAAAGTTCTCGTATATGGAAAGGGTTTCACTTTGGTGGCCTCTATTTTCTAGAATGAAAACGGGAATGAAACAACCGTCAGACTTAGTACAAATCGAATTCCTTGTGGAGGAGAACACGTGACTCTTTTACGGAATGCGAAAAAAAACCGTTCCTGATGCTAACATCATTGCTGACGAAGTCGCAGTACATTTCTAAACAAGCTTTCTTGCAAATATCTTGCGGAAAAAAAATGAAACAATCTATTTATTTAATAGTTTCTTTTTTCCACAGTTGTACCCAGATGTCATTTCCTGCCGCCGTGGTAGCTCATCTTCAGGGGCCTCTTCTGCGGAACCTGAGAAACGTAGGTGCCTAGTGGCCCTATACGATTACGATCCTTTTTGCTCTGGTGTCCGTGGATGGCCGCCTTACGATCAACTGACGCTGAAGAAGGGTGATGTCATGACGGCGTTGGAAGATCAGGATGCAAATGGGTTTTACCGCGTTTTTCTGAACGGTGAGAGTTTACGATTGGTTATATGTTATTTAGTTCCGTCAAAAAGCCAGTCACAAAGGAGTTATAATACAAAGTTGTTCAAATAACAGTAACTAAGGCAGGCTAACTGAATTCATCTTCATAATGAACTTTGTTGATAGGTTTCTTCGAGATACAAATTGCACATTTCGTTGCCATACGTTTACCTTGGCTCCGTTCAGCTCCCTTGTTTTCTACACATACCCCCTTTTTTGTTGTTTTTTGTGGTTTTTTTATGCACATGGGTAGAAAATACACCTTTCCCCTAAATCGTGTTTTTATATGTAATTTTTATAATCAGTGTACTGTCCACCTTCAAATGATTCAGGAGAGATTAAAATGATGTATTTTCATTTAACCTTTTCGTAAGGCCAAACAGGGTTTGTTCCTGGACAGATGGTGGAAAACGAATCTTCATCTTTATCGCGGCAACCTGTAAGTTTGTCAAATAATTTAAGTATGTTAATCAGGGAGCAGAGGATATTTCTTAGCCGCACATGGATGCGAATTTTGTCTTTGAATGTTAAGAAACTCGTTTCCACATACGGAAATGAAATATCCTTTTATTATATATAAATATTGGTTGGATATTTGAATCAAAGACAATTTTGAAACGCATCGAGAACACCGAATGCACGTTAGCCCAGTATACAGAAAAGCTTCCTCAAAGTGTGAAAGGAATATAATGACCATTACGAGGCTGACATCTTCTCCGTGTTTCCGAAACAAGAAAAAAATGTTCTTTCACCAATATCTCTAAGACGAAGTACTTTTCTTCTTTGTTCTTATCATTTACAAGGTGAACAGACGAGCTCCAGAGCAAATATTGGGAATGTTAAATAATTATCCCAGACGAGGACAACCAGAAGGTGAGTTTCACAAGCCACTACATTGAGTTTGTAAGAAGTTACATCGAACAAGCTAGTGGATCGGTAGTGTGCAGGTTTGACTCATCTGTAGTTCTAAATGCAAACGAAGCCTGGATTGGAGCCTTTGCTGGGCTATTGTGCTTCACACTCGACACTCTTGGAGTGCTTGTCTCCACTTAGGGTTATAATGGGCACCTCCAAAGTGTCAGGGTTTCATGACAAATTCAGGGGTTATCCACGAGGAGGAGTAGCATGTCGCCTAATAACAATGACACCGTAATCAACTTTGGTGTAACAAGCCGCCGGAATCGCAAGACGTAACTAGAGTTAAGTCAAGGGCTGGTCTCTGTTCGGTAATTGCTTACGGTTTCTCTTTGGTCATCTTAAGTTTTATCCTCAATATAGACGTATTGTTTAATAGCTTATGTCCGATTTAAAAGAAAATGACACCTATAAAACAAGGCCCAGGACGAAGCCATCATCAGAAAAAAAATGCAATAAAGCAAAACGTCATTCGTAACAAAGGCTTCGCACTTACCCTGGTTGTAATACAAAGAGATTTGGCATCTTGGAAACAGTTCATTTTGTCATTTTACTTTTTGCTTATTACAGCTTCTTCAACACAGAATTCAGACTATCCTACACCGCTACCATCGATGGGAAGCATGAAGTCACTAACTCACGATGGTAATTCCAACGGCTTTCAATCGCCATTAACTCGTACGTGTCTTCCCGGCAGTCCAAACAAACTACCCAATGTGGGATTAACAAAATTCAAGCCATCAACGGACGTAGATATGCTTGGTGTCATGACTTCTGTGACACAGTCCTCCCAACAATTAGTTCCGCTGTCCTCTCAAGAACCAGACAAAATATCGACACCACCCGCAACCCCCAAACAGATTGCTCCTGTCGTGTCAACCAAGTCACTGTCTAAAAAAGGTACGAGTCATTCATGTGATATCAAATAGAGGTAGAGTTGCACTTGCAGAGTGATGGTTTCTCGTCTTAATGTAGCGTTAATCAGACGTTTTCCTGAAGTAGTACTGACGTAAAAAAATGTGGCGACAAGTTTTGACGATACACTGTAAAGTTCCAAAGGGCGTATTTAGAGAAACGTAACTCGGAGCACTCGTTTGGTTAACGGGAGGGCAGAAATTCGTCGATAAATTCTGCATATGAGGCAACTGGAATTCGAACAACTAGTACAAACTTTTCAGGGCTTTCCTTCCTTCATATTAAAAATACTTTCTCCCTGACTCTCGGCTTGATTTGAAAATGCATTGGTAAAAAGAACGAACCAAAGCAATTTTACTGTGTTAACAAAAAGGCGAATTTCTGTGGCTACTGCCTCCAATAGGAAGCGACGCCACATATGTCGTCGAGATGAGCTAGTGAGTGAGTAAGTGAGTGAGTGACGGTAACAATAGGATTCCGATCTTGACCCAATTTGACCCGATGTTTCCCGGTGCTGCTTATTGCTTATTTCGTATTACTACAGAAGATGATAAACAGCGTGAAAAACAAAGCTATTCCTTGCAGAAATATCTATAAGGGTGTGATCGGTGCATTATGGAATCTTAGAGGAAATTTTTCTCCTTTGAAGAGAGAGCATTTTACCGATTGAATCAGCGAGTTATGCCCTGTAGATCCGAAGATATAATTTTTTCAGTTCTTGTCGTGACACTACAAAAGATGTTATTATTATTATTATTATTATTATTGTTATTATTATTATTATTATTATTATTATTATTATTATTATTATTGTACTCATAAATATGTGGGATGCGGCAGGTTTTCTGTTTTGCATGTGGGACAAATCTTCTGCAACTCTACCCTCTAGTATTGGTTTATAACCTCTAGTTCTTTTAAATGCTATTAAAAAAATTGAGCTACATCAGTAGCCACATACAGCGTCAAACTGCCTATTTTTATTACAACGCCGTGAGAATCTTTGTTTTCTAACCTCTCCAGTGTCTTTTAGCCTAACGTTCTTTATTTTAAGAGAAAGATACCGAAGTGTGTGAAAAACAGAAGTCGGTGAGACGTTTTCTTCACATATCATTTGAAGCTTTAACGTCTCTCGAGCCGCATCTAGGAAAAGCAGAGTTAAGATTTTTAGTTAAGAATCTTTTTTTCAATTAATTTGAGGTAAACGTCTTTAAACTTCTTTGACTTAAAAAATACTGAGCAGTGAGCTTAAAAAGCTTTAAAAAATACACCTTCTTCAGTGCATGCTAGAAGAGCTTGTGTTGTAATGCACGCGAAGAAGATGAAAGACAAGGAGTCCAAGAATTAAAATTTAGAGTCTTTTGTTTTAAGTTTTTGCACTGACCTTATTATGTTTTGTCTAAATTCTTAAAACCTTTGGCTTCAATTCTCCCAGTACATGCTTGGCTAGTAATGAGGTTGTTTCGTCTTTCTGCCACCTCTCTTAGTTCGCCCTAGTGCTCCAAGCAACTTTCGATGTATACGACCGGTGAACCACGATGCTATGTTGGTGGGATGGACTCTACCGGAAATGGACGAGTTTGGTAGAAGCAGCGGTCTCTCTGTGAAGGGATATAAGGTAGGTACATTCGTTTTATATGTAGTTTATCTTGACTACTCAATGAAGTTGGTTAAAAAAATGTTTGTGTAATTATGGTCTGTTTCTCTGTTGATAGATTTATGCGAATGACGACGTGAGGCTAGACGTTCGTAGCCCCTACATGGCGAAGGTATGACGGACCGGTGTGTCTTTACGCTAAACGTTTCCGCTTGGTCTTCTCTTTACAATTTGATCATAGCATTCGATTACCCCGTCAGTTTTCTTACTATTGCTAATGAACTACTGTAGATGTATTTTTTTTCATTATGTCTTCCGCTGTAACCTTTTTTGCCTAATATTTCTTACTAGGCTTTGGTCGAGGGTCTTGAACTTGGTCTGCCGATCAAATTCAGTATTAAGACTGTGGCTGAAAATGGCACATCTTCTGAAACTGTGTCAGCAGCATTTAACGACACAATCAAAGAAAGCTTGTTGGTAAGGAACTAGTAGATGAGCGTAACTAGTCGATATAGTGTCATTTGTCGAGTCCTCTTCATAGGAAACGCAGTTGGTCTTTGTCTTTTTGTTTGTAGGGTCAAACATTGATTCCTTTAGATGTGCCTAAGAACACCTTTAGCTCCTTTGTGTGCTCTTATTGAGGGATATTTTAAAGCTCAGTGATTGTTAGTTAAATATTGCGTAAAATTTTTAAGTTATTGGTTCGTGTTCTCTCTCGTCTGATATGAATATGGTGGACATATTTTTGGTACTGACTATCTCTTTAACAATAACTAATCAGGAGATTAGATCAGTTTATGTTTGTTTGCTTTGTTTTGTTTTATGCTTTAATTTGTAAAGCAATGCTTTGGCATTTAAGCTGTGAACTCTCTTTTTTTTTGGCAGGATTCGCGTGAAGAATACTTTGAGGTTTGTTTTTCTGTTATTATCGATAGCTATTTAGTGCAAAATTCACTTTATTAAAGGCACCATCCTTGTATATTATAGAGAACTTTTTTAATTCGCCCCTCGCCTAAAAATGACAGGCCACTTGAAATCGAGAGAAAACTATTGAAGGAAATCAGAAACTTGACTTTCCCTCACTAAAGACGAGTCTTTTTCTCACGTGTGGCGTCCGTCTGTATTTGATGTAGTGCCACATGCTTTACTTCTTCTTAAGCGCCGTTTGATGATAATAGTGAGTTTAATTCTTGCGGCAAAAATAAACTCTAATTTTTCTCACTTTCCCTATAACTGAGAAATCATCCCTGAATGCAGACAGCAAGAAGTTTCATTTGTCTTTTGCCGTAGGCGGCATTCTGAACCTTCTACGTGTATTTTCAATTTCATTGGATTTTCTTTTGAAGAGATGGTTTTATGTTCCGTCTTTTTGTCGAGATCAACAGATATATGAGGCCGCCTGTGTATCCTGGTTTCAGTTGAGTATACTAATAGAGGGGTTGAAATCTCGAAAAAGTCAACCAATTTTATACGACTAAAGTACGAATAACTTGAATTGTAAATCATGAATTGTTTTGTTTCTGTTTTCAAAGGATTTGGAAAATGAGCAGCAATACAGAACGGTATGATTGACTACTCTAGTAATGTTACTCTAGATGCCCTTTCGATTTAGTCTGGAAAGCGTAGAAAGATATTTGATTTTAAAATGGTTAGGTGCCATGTTCCTTCGGTTTGATGTTGATGAATCTGTCACCAATGAGAACTTACTTTGTAACAAAATGTATTTAGGTTGAGTGTAGTGTTCCAAGTGCGTGATGGACATTCGTGTTCTGATGACAGACCCCGTTATTTGCTTGTCTTTTCAGTTTGTGGCTCTTTACGACTACGATCCGTTTAAAAGTTCACCCAATCAAAATCCTGCTGCTGAAATGAGCTTCAAAGAAGGGGACATCTTGAAAGTGTTTAACACTTTCAGAAAGGACGGCTATTTTGTAGGAAAGGTACTGAAAGTGTTTGTAATTCGGGGTCTCGCATAGTCAGATGTTTTTCTGTCGTACATTTACTATATTAGGCATTTTTTTTTTAATCTTTAAGGCTAGTTTCTTCTTACTTTACTTTTCATTTCCGCATACAAGTCACAACTAAATCGATTACCAATCAGTAATATGTGTTGAATTTTATGGTAATCCTTTGGAGCTCGTTAGCCAGGAGGCCCTTCTGGCGGCCGTTCTTGAAGGAGGTAACCAACAGTTCAGATTATACTGTTAAAATGTTCGAGCACGTTGACGAGGACGTGTCTCTGACTTTACAGCTGAAAAACAGAAAAGGGCTGATCCCATCCAACTTTATAGAGGAAGTAGCTGTGGCCTCACCTCTGCGACTGGCCGCTGCTAAGGTAATTGTCACGAATCGTGAATTACTTTTCTGTACACAATATCTGTTTTCCTGTTATTAGTTGTGCGTCCTGTGTTTAACGTAAAACTCAAAAGGGGTAGCATTTTATAAGTCAGATTCTCACAGGAGTGACCATCTCATGTAAAAGAGATCAATACCACTTCTTTCAATTTATTGGCGGTAAACTTTGTTGCTCACAGATTTTCTTGAGCAATGCTGTCACACAATTTGACTTCCCAGTCAGCTCGGTAACAAGAGACAGTTTTTGTCTTTAGGAGTAATCGTAGGTCATCATTCTTTCATCGCTAATTACGTTCCCAGCTATAAAACTGCAATGGTGCTCTTGCCTAACTGAAATCTTTAAAAACTATCAAATGTGTTCGTGAAAACTATAATTTTTTACACGGACTCGCAGTTTTATTTTCTAAAAAGTTAAAGTGATGTAAATGCATGCTCTTTCAGCAAGTCAGTTCTCTTTTCTCTCTTCAGAGGCGAAAAGCAGCTCTTCCCAGTCCCACAATCAGGCCTCAATCAGGACACATCAGTTCAGTTGAAAGTATCGGTTCACCAACTGTCGGAGCAAAGAATCCTGTGCTAATGAATAGAAAGGTAGGTCAAGAGAATTTCCATATCTCGGAGTATTCTTTGGTTTTGGTCTCTCTTACTATTGGCAGTTTTTTTCCTTCGTTTCGTTTTCTTTTCTTTTTTTTTTTTTTTTTTTTTTTAAGATTTCTAGAAATTTTTCAATTCTAAATAGAGATTAGAGGACATATTTGTGTCCTTCACAGCCATTTAGTTCTGGGATGTCGTACAACAATTCCCGCGAGGGATTCATGACCTTAACGTCAACAAATACTTCGATGAAACTGATTCAGTTCATTCTGTAAGCTCCATGCGTTTCCAATAAATCAGGTCGATTAGGGTCTTGGAAACTTGGTTTGGATGGTAAGTTTTCGGTTTCATTGGTTTGGTGAGCAACTTTCGGTTCCGATCCAAATTTTTCAGGGATTTGTGGTTTGAAGTAAGTTTTTGTGCGCTCTTCTCTTTTACTAATAGACCACGATGCCTCCCTCAACAATTACTGGCAATTTCTAGTCAGAAATCCCTAAATATGCACCCACTAATAAATGGTAGTAGGTGAATAAATTAGAAAAAGAAAAAAGGGAGAGGGAAAATATCCAAGAGGAGCAATGCAGTGGATTCGGTGCTGAAATTTACATCTCATTTTTGTGTAGATGATGGTGGCCCTCTATGATTACAACCCAGAGGTGCAATCACCGCAAGATAACCCAGATTCAGAACTCCCGTTGAAGAAGGGGCAAATATTTACTGTTTTTGGTGACATGGTAAGTAGCAAGAAGCCCTAACAATTTAAATTCGAACAACGGAAATAGTGGAAGATTTTATGATGTTGCGGAAAAACCTGACCACGAAACGACATCACGAGGAGCGGTGTAAGACCGACCTGAATATTTTCTCTCTTAGCCTGGCCCCATGAAGTTCAGCCGTTCAATTTGCGGCGTGCAACATGGTTTTGTATACAAATACTCCAATTTCTCTTGATAAAGACAAAGTTATAGGTTACACTTAATTGGAAGGTTAAGGCTTTTTTTTTTCCCCTGGTAGAGAATTTTTTGTTTTCTAAAGGAGAATAATATAAATGTTAAAGTATTGGAGTGGCCCGCAGTAAGGTTACCAGAGCGAGATTCTCTTTGATAGTTTTAATAAGGTTTCCTTCACAATTGATCTCGGTTTATTGCAGGAATGACGTTTCCTTTATTACCAAGGGGAGAAACAGGACCATAAAGTACAGATGACCCCCTTAAAATTCGGGCTTACACTTATGTACCACAAGTTTGACTACAGCAGATCACATTCTGTGTTATCTTTAGTTTGTAATTCGTTCGTTGCATACCTATCATTTCTTTTATTGTACAATCCTCGACATTTTACAGAGAAAAGGTGGTATTTTTCTCAAGTGTTCGAGAAGTTTTCCATGACTGGAGAAAATAATGATTTGCGCAGCTAGTGTGAAGTTTTCAAGCGCAGCCTCGTATTAGTAGGTATTTGCAAGCTTCTGTAAGCCGAAACGTCGTAGCGAAAGCCCCAAAGCAAACTCCGCAATTATCTAAATTTAAAGTAGATAAGAATTCCTTGGGAAATTTTGTTCATAATTCTTAAACATTTGTTTTTCTTCACGTTTCTTTATTCTCCTTAAGCGCGCTGATGGCTTTTATCAAGCTGAAGTGAATGGAGAGCTTGGACTCGTACCTGGAAGCTTTCTCGACGAATACACCACTGGGGTAAGGGTAAAGCACGGAAAAAGCAAACTTGTTTATCTAAGCAACAACTACGTGCGAAAACTTGTAGTCATAATAAATTATAGGATGTACTGCGGAACCCTGCCTTACGGCCACCTCGTTATTATGGCCGCTTTTTAATAGCTCGGCTAAACGGACACTCATTTTCTTATCAACAGGAAAACCCTTGTTTACGCGGTCACTCATTAATGCGGCCAACAGCCACATTTTAAAACCCCAAACAGTAGAATCCCTTAAAATTTTACTCCGTAATACGGCCACCATACTCAATATAGAAAACCAAAACGCCGATGGCATGTCGATTCAATGATCTCTGTCGTGTACTTATCAAACAGCCGAATTACCTAGAAGTTGGCAACACTTCCTGTTCTCGCATTAATTTTTTTTATTTATCAATGGTTAAAGTTTTGCAGCTGTCATTGATGCTTGGTTTTACGTGAGAGTTTTAGAAAAATGACGGGCTTTAACCTTGGAAATGGTTTCCAAAAATTGCGAAGATGTCTGTTATAGTAATATGTTTTATTTTAATTTAAAGGGAATCGTTAGCGGTCTCCAGTCTGGAATGCTCGATCCAGTTGAATGATCAAGAAATGGGCTCCTGACGAAGCTTAGATTCCCGTGTGGAATTTTTTTATGCATTCGCATACTTTGATTGTATTTTGTAGCACCCGCCTATGCTGCATCAATTACTTTTATAATCTTCCGTTTTGGATTTTTTAATTTCACCTTTTTATTCTCATTTTTTGTTAATTGTGATAAAGAAATTTGGAGTATAGATCTCTTAATGTTAAAAGCAAATAATTTTGAGGAAATCAGTCTAGTTTGCTGGCAAGCTATATTTTACAGCTGGAGTAGTTGAATAGTAGAAAATAGTACCAAATAATTGATACAGTGCAAGATTTTTTAATTCCTGTACAGACTTGTAGATATCAGACCTCAAAGGTGTAACAGATGTGACTTACACTGAAAGTGTTTATGAAGGTATAACATTGAGAAAAGGAAATCTGTACATTGCAACACACTCATTAAACTATTGTCTCTCTATTTAAATGGGCCTACATCTTTTAAATTTATCTATCAAACCCTTCAAAATACAAATTATGAAGAAAGTTAAAACCCATCAATTAAAAAAAAAGGCAGAAATAAGGTTTCAATTTCTTGACAGGAGTTGCTTCCAAACCCTAAAGAAGTAAAGATATGGCTGGCTAAGCAGCATGTTGCATCAGGGCTCAGGATCTTGATTGAGTTTGCATTCAGTTTGCTGTACAAGGATATTTTTTGTCAATGAGCCATAAGTATTCCATTGTGTCATTTTATTTGGAAAGTTGAGAAGAGAAAGGAATATCTCAGAGAGGACAGTAGGCAGGGTGGGAAGAGAGGAAAAAAGACTCCTAAATCCCCCTCCACCTCTCTCCTACAAATACACATACCATAACTCCGATGGGGTAGATCTGCACCAAAGAGGTGTCAGTGTCCTGCCCCACCTTTCCAAATGTTACTCTTGCATGCAAATAATTTATTGCAAGCAATTACCTCTCTTTTAGTCACACAATGATGGTCGCTTGTTAAAGACAAAGTCTTTGGAGATAAAATTAAACACTCATGGGTAGATTTTCTGTACAAATTTCAATAGCCAAAAGACACCATGACATAACTGATAGACCTCATTGATCAGACTTTTAAGTATGGATTTATGAACAAATTCTAAATTCAGGAGCCTGTTTCCAACACTTTGTCCCCCACTTTACGCTAAGATCCATTATGTACTGTCAAGAGAGTATACCAGCTTTTCTTTACTGACATTGGTTTCCTATTTTTGGTAGGTTATGTAATCATCTGTTTATTTATTATATTTCTTTACTAATATATTTGTATAAGAATAATTATAACTTTTTCATGTTCCAATTTTTTGAGATTTCTTTCAAATATGGCTTTTTGTCAAAAGAGTGAGAATAATTTTTTCAGTGAAATTTCTACCATAACAATTGGAATTTATTTTTTGAACCATTCTGCAAACATTTGCTTCCTTTTAAATCACAAGAACTGAGAAAAGTTTCTTGTGCATGAAAAGATGCACCTGAGGCCTTAAAAGTTGATGCTTATGCACATTTATTTCTTAAAAAAATAATAGAAATGCCTATTACCAGATAAAATCATGGCATTCCCTTAAAAATTGAAATAAAAAATCTCTCATTCACATGACCACTGTTAAAATGATCAGGCTTTTTTTATAGAATTTGATGTGTGATAATTGATAATGTGCCTTAAGCAAAATGTAGTTCATCCATGCTAGAGAATCAAACATCTGTATTTTAAATGCTCTAGTGTGTCCTATCTTTAACATAGGTACCCTGCTTAAATCTGGGATCTTGAGACTGATACAAAGTTAGTGCCTCTCTCCCAGTGTGTGCTGCCACTAAAGAAGAAAAAAGGAAATTACTAACCATCTGATTATTTTCTACAGTTAATTAATTTGTAAAGAATACATCTTATATGAGGATGTGGCTCTTACTACTTTCCACTCTTTACGTTCTCCTCTACTTTGCTTGATCAAGATCTCCCTATGAGTACATCAAACCCTTTTATACACACAAATGGGCGGACCTTAGCTACTATTCTGTACACATTTACATCAAGGTAACTGACCTGTTCAAAATGTGCTCATTTGCAAGTATGTAAAAGTATAATAATAATGTAGCCATTAATGCAGTAGACAGTTCCATAATAAGGTAGGGTCACCATGAAACTTAAGGAAGGTGAAATAGCCATTATATCGAATTAATGCGGATGTGAGGAGTAAATATCTACCATGTTAATGATCTGGATATTCTCCTGGACGACTTGTTCCAGTTTAGCTACATTATGTTAATTATAGTATTTTAGTACATAACACACAGTTCACAGCAACTCCTCTCTCAACTCAGACAATTAAACTCATCACCCCCATTGCTCTGAATTAACTGAGTTTAACCACTGAGTGGCTACTTCAAACAAGTATGGTTTGATTGAACTGATTATAAAATAAAGTGAGGACACACCTGGTCTTTCTGTCCAGATGAAATGATAATTTTTAACACTCTTTATCTTACCTTGGGATTGAATTGTAATTTACTGCATCACTCAACATTCAGTGCCATAGAATGGCATATAGCAAAATGGAAGTCCGTTTCACTCCCAAGGATGATCATTTGATACATTCGCCTTACAATTTTTGCAACCAAGTGATAAAAATGAAGAATATTAAAATAATTCAGAAATTGCCTTGATTTAACTTCTCATCCTCACAAAAAGATGGCAAATAATTTTATGATCACCCAAAGTAGCATGTTCATTTTGGCAGTGAAAAAATTAACCTAATGAGCCAGAATGTTAGATGTAACACGCACTGAGTAAAAATATTAATTTTGACAACCTCAAAACTCTTTCATAAAATTAAATTTGGGCTTATGGACTGTATTTGTTATTTAAAACAAAATTTAAAGCAAAGTCAACTTCATGCTCAAAGCCAATCAGAATCAAGATGGTGATACCAATGTTTAATTTAATTGTTCACTGTGCTTGGCTTTTTTAAATGTATGTTCTTTTTAAAACATAACCGACCTTCCCTAGGTGGAACACATTCTTTGTATAACATTTTTTCTCACTGTGGGGTGCATCACATAAGGGTTCCATTGATGAAACAGAATTAAAGCCCAGGATATATTGCATGTCACTTAAATTGTATGACTGCATTACCTTGACAAAGTTTGACAATCTTCCAGTAGAACTGAAGGTCTTTTGCTTTGAATCAGTTGTAGTTGGCTGATAATTTAGATGCACAGTACATAAGAAGATTACTCATGAAGAGATGCTCTTGCTTGTTGCATCCTTACAACAAATGAGCTAACATTGTAATTATAAAGCTGCATCCAGTGATTGAGCATCACTTAGACAACTCATTTTTGGCTATTCAGTTATCGAGGAAATTGTATATAGTATAGCAGTGAGCACATCCTGGGAAAAAAAAGATAAACTACTTGCATTCATAGATTCAAGTAGGTTGCATCCATGGTCTTTACAAGCAGTGCAAATGGTAAAATGGATGAAGCTTGCCTTGTCACCCAATATATAGTGTCCATTTTAAAATATGGATCAATTTCATCATTCATTCCTGGTCTCCGCATCATTTGGTACGAGTATGGTTCAATGTAAGCTTGCAAGACAACTTGGCCTGCCTTGACTTCGCCAGTCTCAGTGTCATTGTACTTTAATTTTGGTGCATCCAAATCAGCACATATAATAGAAGGTGTCATCTTTATCAATGGCTTAGACCCATCCTCACTCAGGTCTTCTGAATGATTATCTGTGGTATTTGACTCAAGTACTTTGACAACCTCCTTTGGGTTTAAAGACATAAATGCCAAATTCCAGTTTGATGAAACAATATTTTCCTGCCCACTAGCAGCCCCAAGTTGAAAGCGACACCATCCTGTAGGCAGCGAGTATGTTTGGGGAGGATTACCACTCTTACACAATGGTGTTTCAACATCAAGACAGCACTCTTCACAATAACAGGGATTTAATGCATCTGCTTCAAAATAACATGAAGGAATGTTCAAATAACTGAGGAATCTAATACAGCTCTCTTGATATTCACAACTAGCTTTGAATGTGTCAACAGACACAGTACTCTGCTTGGGTGGAAAACTTGAGGCACTTAATTTGTTACGTGGAACTTTCTTTTCTTTACAAGGTAAAGTAAGTGGGCACTCTCCTTCAACATTCTTCATACAACGCGGACGGCTGTGAACATCCAGGCCACATCCCTCGCACTTCATACCTTGATCTTTAATTCCCCACATAAAACCTCCACAAGATGCGCACCATTTAAAATGTTTGTAAGAATAAGGTTTGAATACGTGAGGGCAAGCGATGGGTTTTTTCTTTTCTTCTTTTGGCACATGTCCATCCACATCATCAATCACGCGAAACATATTGAGCACATCAACAACAAGATCTGTGATCGACTTGTATTTCTTCTCATCAGTAGAATCGATGAAAAATCTTTCGTTTTCGTAGAATAGTCTATAATGAACAATATGTCCACCGTAACTTAAGGACAGGCTGTAGTCGCCGGGTGAGCTATTACTCTCTCTCACTAAGTATCTTCCGTTGACTGGACCATTAGGACCGGAGAGTAGTTCGTCGACTTCCTCCCGAGGAATGCGGCCGTGAAACTCTTCTTGAAAGAACGATGGTCTGGAAGGCAGGTTCTTCATACAAGCTAAGCGAATTGGCTCAGGGGCAGCATTCTGCTGCAAAGCGAGCAGCATATCACTTTGCCATGCTCTGCACTCTGGTTCCTTCAGTTTCTCGATGTCGACATAAGCAGGAGCCCCATCAGAAGGTTTGTGGTCTTGAGGTGGTTTGCTTGACATTGGAAATGCCTTTCACCAAATTCTCGAGTTTTCTCTTGATTCTTAATATACCTCTTTCTTCCTCTTATTGCTCTAAAGCAAGGTTCACCGGTTCAGCCGCGAGAGGACTTAATTTCGAATGTTGAACGAAGTTACACACATTTAGAATATAACGAAGCCAAGAAGAACGTTGCGAAAAGAAAATAATCCACTCTGGCACTCGACTTGTAGTTCATCTCCGCACTTAGGTCTCAGCTGCTTAGAAGTTTCACGCCTTTCTGATCCTCCACCGTTTAAAAGCCGTATTCGATCAGTTGGCGATCCCAATACTTTGAAGCCAACCGTAATCGTAGAAGACCCTATGGGGCGGCTTCACCCTTGTACGACAAGCTTAGTTTGCTCCTTACTACTACGTCACAATTTGGCAGCGGTCTTTATTGCTGGCTTAAGGGGGACCCAGACCGTCAGACCAGACAAATCTCAGAGCAACCTAAGGGGTACCTCGTAGTCCTCGTAGTTACCTCGTAGTGTATCGTGGAGATATTAGCCCATGTAGGATCAAACATGGTGGTCGACATGGTGTTTAGATGTACAGCCTAGATTTTTTTGATAGATAGGAGGATGCAATAATTTTCAGTAAGTCCTTTGTTTGAAGAGCCTTAGGTGTATGTGAAAAACATTTCAGATGGTTATTTTCATCTCAAAAACACTTTTTGGGTAATGAAGCTACACATGGTCTTTATTCACCTTCTTTTTGTAACAGTTCTTAAGGGATTTAAAGTTCCTCTGACAGTCCACCATCTTAGTTCTATAAAGTTATCAGTTGCGCTCAGAAGCTATACTCAAGAACAAGCCTTTACTTGGTCTCTTTACGAAGCGCGTTGTCCTCTCCATCTCCTTCCATTCCACTCGCCTATGGTAAGCCTTTAGTGAATATTCATTCATTTATTTTCTTATTTATTTTATTTTAATATCTCTTTTTAAATTTATCATGAATTTTTTCACTTTTTTCCTGTGATAATGGCCAGAAGAACGCAGGCTCAAGAAGCCTTGTCGAGCATAACCGCCATTTCAAAAGAGAAGCCACTCTTGACGTTCGTCAATTAGTAACTGCTTATGATTCATTTTTTTAACTTTTTCCGCGTGATAATGGTTAGAAGAACGCAGGCTCAAGAGGATTTAAAGCACAGCCGAGCATACCCTGGTTGGCCTGGTTAGGTCACGTGCATTACGAAAGAGACAGTGGTCAGATTTCACAACCGAATCGCTTAAATTAGTACATGGCGCAGAGAGGCGAGAAGAAATCGCGTGAGGCCACTCCGACCTTCGTCGATTTAAACGACTTAGCATGTTGCAGGGTAAGAACTCAACAGCTGATCCGCTTTAGACCACTCATTTACGAGTATCTTTGAGCAATAAATCCTAGTGAAAACTACGATACTTTGGTTATCTTCGCATTGTTTTTATAGGGAATGACATGATTTCTTGAGTAATTTGGAATATATCAGACTTTAAGCCAGTTTTTTGTACTTTGTTGAGTGGTTTTGTTCTCAGCACTTTCCTTCAAACTCTGTTTCAAAACTTTGTTACTCTTTCGTGACCTGTCCGCCATTTTCGTGGCTTTCTTTTCAATCGGATTTAATTGACGTGTTCTCAGCCAATGAGTACGCTGAAATTTTCCTATGTATGTTATTAGTAGGTAAACCAAACTTGCTTCAAATTCGAGAGGCCATTGGCCATATATAAATGAAATCATTATTATATCTGGCAAGTTCAAGGCACACATTCCGCTGTTGTGAATTTTAACAAAGTACACTTAATAAGCTTAACAACAGGGTTTTTCCCTTAATTTCATTAATGGTCACTATAAAGTTATTATGACTAGGATGTCCTCAAAATTTTAATGACCTCCTTTACTCAACATACTGAACAAGTGTGTATGTAAGTTATTCAAATCAAGAAGATGAGTGCTCATTTCAAAAATTTGAATTTTACTTTAAGTCAAGAAGAACAAGAAAGATACTGGCATGGATAATAGCTTAATTGTTGTTACCTGCATTCTCTACAATGAAATTCAGCAATATGATAAGGTCTTCATATATGACAGATGTCCTTGTGACCATGTCTTACAATGAAAATCATTGAATTTCAATATATTTCAAGCAAAATGCTCCACAAAGTAACTTCCATTATTGAGCATTTCAGTAACATCCATACCAAGTGTTATAGAAAAGGCCATACCACTCACATTTAGTGAGACTCTAACTAAGACAATAAAGGTTAGCAGTGTCATTGGAGGTTACATGATACTTTTAAACATTGCTGAAATATCTGTTGTCCATGAAGAGCACATTTTGATAAGTTTAACTGAAAAAAAGCTGGTAAAAACACCTTGTTCAGTGTATCTTTCACTGAGATTCCAAGTTTTCAGGGTAACCACACTTTTTTTTGTAGGGCACGTTGGGTTTCAATCATGGGGAAGAATAATACCCTGGAATTTACTAACACAAGACTGCTGTGTTTCAGGTGGGAGGTGAAATAATGTTTGCCACAGATGATTGGTTTGCTGTCGCTGAAAATGTATTGAAGGTAATCTCAAGCTTCATTTCTACCAGGGGAAAACTGATTAGCTGAAAAGCTATGGGAAAGTCAGGGAAATCCAAACCATGTCGCAGATTTCTATCAATAATAATTGTTCATAGTCAATGGTGAATTGTGAGTGATATAAGCTGCAACATTACAAATATCAAGCATTAGTGTCAATCGGAACCCAATTTATGTAGAACACTACTTGAAGATTAATAACCATACTTACACTCATGCTAACTGATTTATCTATCAGAGTTCATAGATTCTGCTCTCTTGTTAAATTCCAATTCAAAGAGGAGAGGCAGATAGTATTTATCTCTGGGTAAATATTGGGTATCTTTTTATTGATTATCAGGGAAATTTGCTTGTTAAAACTTTCTATAGAAATGAAAATTGTATAATAAACAAAAATGCCCATAGTACTGAGTTGTTGGTTAGGAGAAACATAACATTGTGAGCCATATATTGATTTTTGTGTTTTTATTTGATATTGCATAACTATCATCAAGTCAAGTCACTTAAAGCCACTTGGATTAAAAAATATCTAGATCCAGAAAACAGTAGCAAATGGAAAATTATCTTTAATTTAGAGCTAGGAAAGTATGGAGGCAATGGTTTTTTTAAAGGAAATCTTAACTGAAGATCCGCATATTAAAATAATTGTAGAAATATGGTCAGATACTTTTTTTGAAGGAAGAATAGTGTCCAAGGACCATTTTTTGTCTCTACCTCTTTGGCAAAATTCATTAATAAGAATAAACAATGCAACAGTATTATATAAAGAATGGCTTTCCAGGAGTGTAGCAAAAATAAAACATTCAACAGATAATTCTAATAACTTTATTTCCCTTGTCAGCTTTCAAAATAAATATGAAATCCAAATAAAACAGCTAATGTTTTTTGGAATAATCTTCGCAATAAAACTTTTGCAACAATAAATCCAAACAACACAACTTTTTAATACATTTTTAAAAAGCCAAAAGTCTTCAAGAATTGTATACTATCAACTTATATCTGATAAAGGCCAATGACCAATACCATGTCAAGAGAAGTGGCACAAAGATATCGGTTCTACAACCAATAGAAACATTGATTGTAGGAAAGTCAATCAAACATCTGCTGTGTGCACAAGGAACTCTAAAACTAAAAGATATCAATTTCAGATTTTTGCATAGACGGCTAGCGACAAATAGCTATTTACAAAAAAAAGGAATTAGACAGGACAGAAAACGCAACTTTTGCCATAACGAAAAAGAAGATCTGTTTCACATATTCTGGCAATGCCAAAAAACAAAAATGTTGTGGCAGAATCTTGCAACATGGCTTCAGTCCTGTCAGATTCTCCCAAAAGACAACCAACTACTCATGGAAACAGCTTTAAGTCTTAGGCTTGACAGCTCCAATTTCAAACTCTAAATAAATTTTTGCTGCCTAATGGCTAAACACTATATTTGGATATGTTGATCAAAATAACTTTATCCAACTCAAAACATTACTTCTTGATTCATCTGAAACATATACATCACTTAGAAAACAGGACACCAAGCAACACAAAAAAAATGGAAGCCTTTTCTACCCTGGCTGGATCAGGTCTCCTGGGCCTTTGACTCTGAAACCAGTCCTTCTCTCATATATAAAACATATATTAAAATAATATACTTTGTGTAGAATATGTTTTGCCCTAAAGAAAGAAAGAAAGAAAGAGAAAAGAAAAGAATCTATAAAAATAAAAATTTGTTTTGTTTTGATCTGTTTTTTCTTTTGTAATTAAATAAATTTAAAATAAAATGGAAAAAAGTAAAAGAAACATTATGAGTCAAATGAATAATTTGTAATGCTAAGAAAAACAAGCAAGTAATTAACATGAGATGCTATTCAATGGCAGGTTACCCATTGTCACTTTTCACCAGGTTTTTCTAACAATTTGCGGGTACTACTTTATACACCTGGAAAGAGAAAAGTACTGTGAGACGATAACAAAATTAAGCTCTGCTAGAAAGATCAGCTCATACATGTTTTCTTCTCAAATTTATTTAAACCTTTAATTTAATTAAGAAATAGCAACAACACAAAATTAACATTCAGCTGGCTGTGTCAGCTTTCTCAAAAATTTTAAAGCTTCATTGAAGTCTGCCGGCTAAGTTCTTAATAAAGGCTGTATCTCATATTTAACTTAGTTAAATCTTGTAGCTTGCTCCTCCAGAGTGGCGTGAAGGAGTGTTCACATCATACGGCAAGTGGATGGATGGATGGGAAACAAGGCGTAAGAGAATTCCTGGGCATGACTGGTGTATAATAAAACTTGGGATACCTGGAGTAATCCACGGACTTGATATTGATACGTCATACTTCACAGGCAACTATCCTCCTAAAGCTTCTATTCAAGCTGCCTGCCTTGAAAATGGTAAGAGTATTTGGACTAAACATCTCCAGCTCTTTGTGAAGATGCCATGTAACAGCTCAAGGGTTTGAAACTAATACCTCTCCATTGCTCATGGTCTAAATATATAAGAAGAATATTCTGCTTTTGTGATAACGTCTCCTAATGTTTAGACTTTAACGTCTTTCAAATAGGACTCACAATAATCTTTGTGCTATCTCTAGCATCAACGTCTTTACTGTAAAGTACAGGTTAGTTAGTTTTAGAACTGTTGCTGCTGGCTTGTTCTTGGGGCTTTCTAAGGGGTTTATTCTATAGCTAAGGTTCCCTTGTCCAGCAAAACTTGTTTTAACAGTGAGCTCAACCATCACAAATCAGGTTATGTCCAAATCAAGTTAAAGCAAAATTTGTTTTGTTGAA